CCTCGATGTCGCCCTTCCGATCTTACCATTTTTATATATATATATATATATTTGAGGATTATATATATTTTATATAGGGATCAGAAAGTTCTCTTATCTTATTTCAGCTCATGTAGTCATTTCATACTGAAAAATGATACACTTTATTCTCACTTCCTGCCAGCAGCTTCTGTATTATGAGACCGCCTGTATTTCAGTAACAGTCCGAATGTCAACAGTCTGTTTTTATATATTTGAGTAAGTAATAAGTCACTAGAAACAGTTTAATTTAAATATCAACTCTGTATAAGTTACAGTATGGTCACACTTACTCATAGCAACATTAATTTTATGTGACTGCCTGTAATTCAGTTCAGCTCATCATGTCAGTGTAAAAACAACTGAACAAACTAACAAAAGCATAAGCAACAAATACTTTTAATAATAATAATAATAATAATCTGAAAGCAGGCGCTGGCTGTTTTGACTGTTTGGTGATGTGATGTTTTGGTTTATAACGGTACTCCCACAGCACATGCAGCAACAAAAAAGTCTTTCTATGTGAAAATTTGCACTCGTTTATTTTGCTTAACAGAACCTGCAACATTTAACAGGAAAACATAGTTCAAAAAGTAGACATTGTGTACTTGGAAGTAATCTTGAATGTTGACCTCAAAGCATCTTGGGGGAACAAATATAGCATTTTCGATAACTTTGAATAGCTTTAGCAGAATTAACTTCTTCTAAATTTAAATTTGGTAAATTCAAGTCCTCTATTTTTTTTTAAAGACAGTTCTCTTCAATAAAAGCATACAGGAGAATGGTGATTTACACAGAGTGAAGCAAAACTAAGCATCACCTGATGATGTCGCCAACCTCTCAGTACTTTTTCCATCCTCATATCTACCACAGTCTCTGACTCATGGTGTCAGTTTACAGTTAATAACAGAGACTTACATAAATGCCAAACCAGAACAGGAAAATAATATGAAAAACCCATTTTCACACTCAGAAACATCATAAATGGTCAGAAACATTGCACACATAAATCCTACCCAGCATGCTTTGCAACGCTCACACCGTCTCGGAGACATGACTCACACATTTCCTCACATATCTTTACTTTAATACAAGCAGATTTATTAAGAATATTGATGACACACAGCAACATTGTAGTTGGTTTATAAAAGTAGTTAATCACAAAGATCGCCAAAGTGTGTTAATTCATTATAGTAAATGACATGAGTGAGACATCTGACACACATTGAATGCATCACTCTGCTTCAGCACACCAGTGTTCTGCTCCACCTCATTAGTTCAGATGGACCGGATTATTAATTTAATAATTAATAAATAAAATTAATAAAAATGGATTAATAAAAGCTCTCAACAACTTAGCTCCATCTTATATTAGAGATCTTATTGTTCCATATATTTCTAAAAGAGCAGTTCGCTTTTAGACTTCAGGCTTACTTGCGGTTCCTAGAGTTTCCAAAAGCAGAATGGGACGAAGATCTTTCAGTTATCAGGCTCCTCTCTTGTGGAACCGACTTCCAGTTTCTGTCCATAAGGCTGACACATTGTCCAGTTTTAAGACTGGGATTAACGCTTTCCTTTTTGATAAATCCTATAGTTAGGGTTGGCTGTTATGCTGCCATAGGCTTAGACTACTGGAGGACAAATTGACCTAATTTCCTTAAATGAATTGTTAAAATTGAATAGTTTTCATTTGAAATTATTTCCATCTTTACAAGTGATTCTCATCCTGCCATTGTGTATCTGTTCCTCCATCCTGTCCTCTCAAACCCAGCCAGTCGAAGCAGACGACTGCTTGTCCTGAGCCTGGTTCTGCTAAAGGTTTCTTTCTCACAAGAGAGTTTTTCCTTTCCACTGTTGCCTTCATGCTTGCTCAAGATGAGTCTTGTGATAAAATTAAATTCAAAGCAGTCTGCTCCTCAGATAAATAACATTGTTAACTTACTTTTTATATATATATGAATGTTTCGGTTCAGTGTCCTGAGATGACTTCTGTTGTGACTTGGCGCTTTATAAATAAACTGAATTGAATTGAACTTCTGAAAGCTCACTTCTGACCGGGACATGGGAAGCTTTACCTGTGATTTACGAACCATTTTGAGTCGTGTTCACATTACAGACAGTCTTACAGTGTCAGCGACAAAATCATATGATAAAAGTTAGTACTTTAGCTTCAGATTTGCTTTTTTAATCGGTTTAGCGTTACAAAGCTAAATTTTTAGTTAGCGAATTAGCAGTAAGCTAAGCTAACTTTTTGGTTGGCTGTGTCCACCACTGGCAAGGTGGATAGGAGATCTGCACAAAGCATACAACCTTACCCTAAGGCACAATTTGGTCCCATTGACACCCATTATAATAACATATTTTTGATGTACTGTTACCCTGACATAATGTGATGCTTTCATCATGAAAACCTAATAGATCTAAAGCCCCTTTCCCACGGGCATGGCTATACGCATCTCGCATCGACTCGGCATCGGTCATACGTGTCTCTAATGCTTGTTACCACATGGTTTTTGGAATCGCCTCAGCTGTGGTTCCAGGCAAGCCGCACACAACTGCATCTGGATCAGTTGGTGTCTACTTTGCTGATGAAGAAAAAGAAAGGGCAAACTCAAAGTTCTCCATGGCCGAGTTGGAAAATAACATCATCTGAGTGTTGACGAGTTCCCACCTGCAGACGATCCTGCCGTATGAGTGAGGGACACACTCACAATGGAGACATCTACACGAGTAGAAATGAGTAGATATGAAGTGATCCCCCCCCCCCCCCCACATAATTTTGCAGCCCTCTAAAGAGGATGAGGAAGATGTTACTAGCAGTGAAGATTCCTCTGAGGGCCAGGAGGGATCAGAGGAGGAATTCCCACCGCTCACAGAGAGGCTTTGCCAAGTATTTCACTTTTCACCTTATTTTTGAAAAAATTGCACATTTTGTGTTTATCTGACAAAAATTGTATAAAAATGTAAAAAAATGTACATATAATATGAAAAACAAAATCAAATACCTTATATCAACAGTTAGGTCTGAAGTGTTTGAAAAGATTTGATGTAATGGAAGTAGAAATTATATTTATAAATGACATTTTTATCAGACTTTTTCAGACTAGGCCTCAGGATAAAAGGTATAAGGGTTTTGAAAAAAGTATTATTGCTCCAAAAATAATATTGCATCATATTCAGTGTTATCAATTATTGATCTAGTCAATAACCTCAAACCAAATATTCCACTTTGCACAGAGACATGCCTTCGTTATAATAATGGGCTTACGTGTATTCATTTTTCAGTTTTTGAGTTGTTTACGTCCAAGAACCGAACGCGACCGAACATTGAACGAGTCACGACGAGAGAAGTTCAACCAAACTGAGCGCACTTCCGCTCAGACTGATCACATTTTAGTAGAATTTATAAATAAAAAAAATAATCCCAACAAATATAATGAAAAGTATAATGAAAGATATTTTAGTCCAACCAAAGTAAATCCCGAAACGGTTTTAAGCTAAACTTGTACAAAGATACAGATTAGTACATACAGCAGCCAGCAATAAAAACTACAGTGAGGAAAACGCTAATTTAGTCCTGTATGCACTAAAAAGTTGACTGAAGCCAGTCATCTGTTTAATTATTGTACAAATTGCTAAACATGAAGAAAGGTTTTAGCGGGATAAGAAAACGTTTTTTCTTCCACTGACCTGCCCTCCGATGGTGATGTCGAAGAACACAATCGGGTTATTGGGGTTTGTTGCCTGAACAGACATTATGGCGCTTTTCCAGAATCTTTTATTGTTAAATAAAACAAGATACCGTTTGGAAAATTACTTGCGAATCATTTGAACATGCGGAACATGCGTAGTTGTGACCAACGGAAGCTCACGAGAGACAAGTTACGAGTTGCAATTAGGGACAAAAATCTTCCATGGACAAAACGCGCAACGGGATTCTAACAGAGCGCCCACCCGTGGTGGAATAGCAGACGCCATCCACACACACCGCTTAAAAATAAGGAATACTTTTGGGATATCCTGATGCATGCATACTTTTGGGACATTTTCAAGCGATCAAACTTAACGTTACAGAATTCCCAAGAAAGTATTAAATCGTTATCGTTATTAAAAACGAGAAAACGCATTTCTTATTTAGTCTGAAGCATGTTCAATGTAGAAAAATCTAAAAGTTAAGTCAGGTCCTCTGGATGGATTAAAAATAAAATAAAAACTAGTTATTTCTCATTCTAGGTATTATACAACTTTCTACATTAAATCGATTTTAAAAAATGGTCTTACATTGTAAAAGATGTACAGGATTGAAAAAAAAGAGCTCAAAAACACTACAACTCATTGCTACAAGCCAAGGTTGTCAGAGGTTTTCACACATGCTTAGACATTTGTTATGTGAGACTCAAAACCATCAATCATCTTTACCCACTTCTTCCTTTTTGGGTGGCAGGGTCACTGGTGCGCCCATGTCCAGCCATCACTGTGCGAGAGGCAGGGGCCACCCTGGACAGGTCTCCAGTCCATCAGAGACAAAACTGTTCACTCTCTCACTCACACCTAGAGTTACCAATCAGCCTAACATGCATGTTGTTGGTCTGTGGGAGGAAACCAGAGTACCCGAAGAAAACCCATGCATGCACGGAGAGAACATGCAAACTCCACCCAGAAAGGCCTGGGACTTGAACTGGGGCAATGTTCTCGCGAGAGGCAGCAGCTCTACCAACTGCGCCACCCTGCTCAAAACCAGGTTTTTTTTAAATAATTAAAACATATTCAAAGCTTTAGCAGATTTGGGCTTCTCGTGTGTACTTCCAAATCTGTGAAATCATAAAATTTCTCAAGAGCATAATTACTGCTCAAATTCAAAAAAGTTGCCTAACAGCACAAAGACCTGTGGAAAACTTTGGCAGGACGTTCATTAGATGTCGCAGCATCATCCGCTCATCAGACCACAAAGCAACAAGGTTAATGGAATATAGAGGTAGATTGTGCCAATACAAGGACTTAAATCTCACAAAGATGGGAAAAAAAAGTAAATGTTCACATATGTAAAACAGACTGACAGATTATTTTTTGTGTCTATAACTAGAAGAGCGCTAAAACTATTTCAAAGTGCAGCAAGAACGCCGCAGAAAACTTGTGCAGTAAAGATTTTATTTTCATGGCAAACAAAATTCCACAGTTTAACTAAACACATAGTTCCACAAAAAAAAAAAAAATTTCAAATTATTGTTGAAAACATTTAGCAGTAAAGGTGGCGGCAGACTCAGAAGCAAAAACATAGAAGAACAAGTTTTAAGTGAAGTAATAAGGTTTCTTGACGTTCACACCGTACTCGGAAAGAGCAAGAGTCAAGTCCTCCATCGTCAGAGTGTACTTCTTGTCCTGTGAAAAATGATAACACTGATTATAAAAAAAAAAAAAAACATTTTTTAACACAAAAAATAAAATTTCTTTAAATTAGTAGACAACACCCCTGTCAGTGGTGCTCATGTACAACTCAAAACGTTTAGATGGGGGCAGCAGATTTAAAATGCTAAATTTAATCCTCACCTTTGTCTTACTTCTGGAGCTTCCTGAGGCTGTTCCCTTCATTTTGCAGTACTGAAGCGCATCATTTGCTATATCTGAGATAAACTTCTGAGAAGCAAGGGAGATCAGACGGATTCTACGAAAGTGGAAAAAGAAACATTGTTTTCATCTTTTTATCTCATTTTTCATAGAAACTTGTAAAGAAGACTCTTTAAATATTTTGTTTTATTAAAATAAAATAAAAACCTGATCAGATTTCTATATCTGGGTTGCCAAGATATTATTTAATTAACACATTAATGTGATTCAGAACATGTTTCTGTTCAGTCCCTGAGATGACTTCTGTTGTGATTTGGTGCTAATATAATTAAACTATTGCACACAAAGACTGGACAATCTTGTGACTTGGCCACTATATAAATAAACTGAATTGAATAAAAGTCTCTCTTGTAAATTAGTCCTCGTGGCTCAATGAGACTAACCTGTATAAATAAGGGTTGAATGAATGAATGAATGAATGAAATGAATATGTAAATGTACACACATGGAATATGAATACTTGATAAGACAATAAGAAATAATTCTCAAATTTCACTTTTTTCTGCCCTTTTTTTTTTGCCAGGAAGCAGCCAATCCTCTGCTATTTACCCTGGTGCATGTTTGACTACATGAATAATGTGCATTTATTAGACTTTTCATGTTTAACTGCAGCGGCATGAATAATGCTAAAATGATTATCTGGACTATGACTGGTTTAACATCTGAATTACTGAAATGAAGGTCCTGCATGTAGGTCCCACATATTATACTTACATCCTTGGATCAGATGCCTCAAATCCTGCCCTATTGAGGTAGTAGCCTGTAACTGCATCAGGAATCTGAGGGGGAAATTCAAAAGGAACAATGGTAAAATAAAATTTTAAATTAGTAAAAGAATAAATAATCAGACAACCTTTAAACCTGGGTTACTCCATTTATTCACTGTGGTATCATTTCAGTCATTTTATGAAATGTCACAGCATTCATTTATGCCAATCAATGATTAATCTTTGGCATTACAACCATACATTCATATTTACCATATTGCAAAAGTCATAGAAGAGTCAAAGCAGTTCCTAATGTTTACTTACATCAATAAAAATCTAGATTTTTTTTTCTTATTTCCCTGACCTTGAAGCTGATGTTTCATCACTATCCCACTGGGTTTAAACAACTTTTCTTGAACAGCAGTTTACTTGATTTTAGTTCAGCAAGCTCCATAGCTATTTGTTGCTGCAGATAGATTATTTGACCCTTCTGAGAGAGGATAACCAGCAGGATGTCTTCCAAATGAAGCTGTTGTACAAATGAGAATTAGTTTAAGCTTAACAACTTGTCATCATATAAACTATATAATTCCCTGCGGTGATTTTTCACAATGGGAGGTTCTTCCCTTTGTGAACAGTTTAACCCTGGTGGGTACATTTTTTTTAATAAGTTGTGTATATTTGGAGTGCCATTACTGAATACTGCTACTAACTGATAATCACACAAAAGAAGACTGCTGTACTGATCGTTAGGATGACGTGTCTCCATCACGGAGCTGACTGGCTTACTGTGGGAGTGTAATCCTCCAGCTGCATGAGGAAATCTGCCAGAGGTGTGGTGGAGATTGCAGGCTTTATGTCTCCGTTGCTGATTCCACCGGGAAGGTAAACACCGTTGGAAACTGATGAGTCTGTTGATGGCGTTGCCACAGCAGCTAAGGCTCCAGCTGTGAATTTTCAAGTTTCATTAGTTTGAGCAGGAATGTATATATGTATGTATTCATGTATAAAAATAAATAAAGAAAGCAACTTAGTGTCAACATCTCAGTGTTTGTTGTAGACAAGCTAATCTACAACATTGTACTAAGGTTCTTTTCACAAGTTTGTTGCAGGAATTAACCAAACTTGGATTTGGCAGCTTGAGATAGTTTGCATAAAATAATTGCTATTGTTTAAAGGAAACAATATTATTACTAACAAAGTAAGGTTATGGTTTTGTGGTTAACAAGAAATATTTGACAGTGGATACAAAATTATTTAACTTATCCTAACAGCCAGATTAAACATTTCATCTCACTTAGCAAAAACACTCACTATATGCTCACTTAACAAAAAGTTTGCTTCGTGCAAGTCTGTGATATTTGAAGAGTAAAAATAACTTAACAGTAAATTTAAAACTAAGTGTAGCTGTAGGACAAACGCAAGTCATGTGTTGAGCACAATCCAGATATTAGCCGAAAACATAAATGTTACCATTACTTGTAGCCGACGGGATGCTGCTGGCGTTGGTTGCTGCATTATCATTCACGATGCAATTACTAGAAGCTGAAGACGTCGTCGAAGGAACTCCTGGAGTGACAGACTGATTTACGTTGTCTATATTCATGTTGATCTTAGCTAACGCGCTAACCTCGAGAGGCTAACTCTGAAAAACGTCAAGAGATACAAAACACCGCGAGTTTATGCAGTGTAGCTCTAATGCCTGCCCTTTATTGAGCTTTATGTGTTGGTCAAAAAATAACAACAACACTTTATCACTTTGAAGAAGTTTAAAATTACATAAACTAGCTGCTGTAAAATCTAGCTGTCGTCGAACGCTGAAATCATGCTAGTCCTAAGTCACGTGACGTGACCATCTCTGGCGACAGTGGGAATTTTGTCGAATTTGGCCGAAACGAATCCGAACATATCCGAAGTCGCCAGGAAGTTGCGTCTTTTTAGTCAATTGAATATTTTCACGTCTGTGTCCAGTGCGATTTAGTGGCCGTGAGTGCTGCTGATCATTTAGATTTAGATGCGCCATCCACAAACAAAGTAAATAAGTATTACAGTATTCATACAAAGTAATAGAATGTTTATTAGTGCATGCTCTTTGTCAGCCTGTTGTGTTTGATATACTTGACAAGGCAAGACACAAGACAAAAATGGCATGTTTATTTTAGCCGTATTTTCAAGAACAAAATCAATTATTAAGACGTATATAGCTTTAACCCTTTGATATTTTTTTAGAGGGACAAGTCTTTGTATTAGATTTTTTTCTTCTTCTTTTGTTTATTTGACCTAAAAACAAGTCATACTCCGTAATGGCAAGACATGTAGTTTACGAGGTACATTGAACGCGGCAGAAGAGAGAGTGGGTGGGTGCAGCCATGGGTGCAGCGCCATCTCTCTATAGGGCTCTGGGTAGGTGGTGTTAAAGATGGAGGAATGAAGAATTTCGTGTTTCTTGCAAGAAGACGCTTGAGCTCACTTCTTTTACTCTGGATAAACGTGGACTAAGATGGAGGCGGACAGTGGATTGTGATACTCGTATGGGACAAAACAGGTAGGAACGCCAACTTTGTCAACGCAATTCACCAGCGATAGCTAGTTACCCATTACTTCTCTTTGGGTATATCAGAATAGTTTCTTTAATCACCCTACATATAACAGCTAATCAAAGTTTCTTTAATCATCCTACATATAACAACTAATCACTATTTCTTTAATCATCCTACATATAACAGCTAATCACTATTTCCACAGTGGGACTGTTGACGTTCATCGTGTTTAGTTTGGGTCTGCTCCTTTTTCACCGGCAAACATCGATGACAAACAGCAAACGAGTGTGATTCCAAATGAGGGGAAACCCATACCCCCAACACATTCAAATATTTTATTAATCTACTTAATTTTTAGATTGTTGCTTTTAATAGAAGGAACACTGTGTGTGTAGAAGCAGACGGAAACATGCCGGCGTATAAATGGTGCGGACCCTTTTGTGTGCTAAGGGCTATGGTTTTTACAAGCTCTGCTGTGTTAAAGTTCGCAGATTGGCAGAATGACGTCACCCGTCTGTGTGATTGTGGTGGGAGCTGGTAGTCGAGGGGAGAACTACTCCCAGTTTGCTTCTATTCATCCTAAACGCATGAAGGTGAGAACATGCTCATATCAGAAGATTGACAGCTCACTGAACATTGACACCAGAGCCCTATAAAGAGAGTTGCGACACTCTTTGAACTCGCCGATACGCGGTCACGTGGTTCATGCAGCTCTCAATAGTTCCAAAAAGCTCATCCTGTCAGTCAGTTTGAGCGGCTGCTGGCGCAACATAACACAAAAATCAACTTTTCTTACTTTACCTGGCGTCTTTCAGTAATTATTGAGTAGTAACGAACAGATTACTTAACTGATTACTGATTATTTCACAGACTATGCATTTTTTATCAAAGCATTTTTAGAAGCGGCTGATACATTTATCATTAAATTTTAGAAGGAAACGAGACTGCAAACACATATGCTAGAAAAAAAAAGTATATGCAATACAATGATCAATATAGCCATGCCAGTGTTTTATAACGTTACACGCGTTAAAAAAAAAAAGATCATAGTAACACCTGTTATTAAGCTATTTCTGATGTTCTCTGCATGAGAGTGCTCCACCTTGTCCTCCATGCCTGCAGTTCAGATCTGCTCCAGCTTACCTTAGATCATCTGGATGAATTCTTGATTTCTATAGAAGATATTAATTCAACCTTTATTTAAACAGGTTATTCCCATTGAGCCACAAGGACTCATTTACAAGAGAGACCTGAATATAATTGTTGTATGTGTCGTTTTTTTATGACAACCTGGATAACTGAGTTGATTGTGCTTGTAGCCTGACAACTATTGTAAAATTGTAATTCATTGATTAAAATGTTAATTTAAATGAAACTGTTTCTAGTTAAAATCATAACAGATGACAAAATAAGTGTTAATTGTGCAAAAATAAATTTCCAAACAATTTATTATAAAATATGTAAAATGTAAAACAAGCTTTAATAAAGTACTTTTTCTGCCATTTATACTGTTTATTAATGACATAATCTCAAGTCAGCAGGATCACCATCATCATCATCATTATCATCACAACAACACAAAGTGAGAGCTGTAAATTTAATCTGCACAAACATTTTCAATCAGGGCTCAAAATGTTTAACTGTCAAAGAAATGTGCAAGAAAATAAACTAATGTCACTCTACAGGCACATTTAGAGAGAGGACAGTTCAGTTTACAGAGACACAGTCAGGACGTGTGAGACTGAAGGAGGTTCAACCATTTGTTCATGGACCAGAACCAGATGAGAAGAACAGCAGAACTTCCACTGCATGTTGATCCATTGACCAGTGATCACACATGTTGTTCTAAATTAAACTTTGGTACGAACAGTGTTACAATAAGACGTGTCATCTTTTTTATTGAACAATAATCTTCATTCTAACAGTGCCGTTGTAATTTCAGAGACTGAGGAAGAAACAGAAATGAGGCGAGTGAGATGAGGGACAGATGAAAATGTGTCCTCAGAGGACGGGGGCCTGCCAGGAACTGATGATCCAGGATCAACAGGACCAGGAGGATGGATCAACAGGCAGTCAGGGAACAGAGATGAACAACCTGAGGAACAATTAGAACACAAAAAAATACATAAGCAGGACAGAAGAAACTCACAGACAAGAAAATTAACTCAGTCCTGCGAAGAAAAATGTTAACAATGGAAAAGAAATTGACATATTTTTACAAAAGATCAGATGAAGACAACTGGCATGAAGAAGAACTTCCAGCTCCATCTCAATGAACCTGTGATAATTTAATAAGTGTTTTTATTACTGTTCTACAGTTTATTGATGCTGATATATTCTTGGTGATAATTCTTATGTCTTGTTTTGTCTTGAAAGAGTCTCATCTCAACTTGACCCATGATTACCATATGCTAAACTAATAATATAAATCAAATGTAAATGAACAGTCCTGCAATAAATACCAACTTTGTGAAGGTTATGGTGTTAAAGTAATCTTATTCAAACATCTTGATTAAGCTGTTATTGTTTTGGAATACAGAAAATGAGATCTTGAACCTTTGTGATACTTTGAATGCAACATTCAGTTCATGAAGTCATTCTGTGGTTTACCTGGAAAACATGAAAAAATGGACTCATCTCCACAATCATGTTTTTCTTTAATGATAATGTCACAATTTATGCTGCAGTCTTTGACAAATGATCTATAACTTTAACTAAATTACATCAATCTTGTTGTCATGTTGTCATCATTCTTTGTTGAAATCAGGTCTCTTGTAAATGAGTCCTCGAGGCTCAATGGGATTTACTGTCTAAATAAAGGTTGAATGAATCTCAGAAAAAAAGGCCAAATATTTTCTAGTTGAATTCAGTAACTGGAATTACCATAAATTTTAAAAAGACCACCTTTCAATATTTAAGCTGTAATGGATATTTTAAAACGCTGAATTAGACAGAAATAGACCCGTTTAAACCGTCATGCTGCAGAGCAGCTGCAGTTAAAACACAACTATCAATTTAACATGTTTCATTAACTAAAACTGGAGACATGAAGTATTAATGTTGATCAATTGTGGTACAGAACAGTCAGATAACGCTTCAAAATGGCAAAAAAAGTGTCGTATTTTCATCATCTTACCGGAGAAAATACGTTCAATGCTGGAACCGCTGCTGTTTGGAACTATTTGCCGCTGTATGACCCACGTGACTTCCGCATTCCGTTCTTTCTATGGGAGCATCGCAACTCTCTCTTTATAGGACTCTGATTGACACTAATTAGGTCTAAAGCCAAAACATCTAATATAAATATTTTGCTTACATGTATAATTATTTTCATGATATTTCTCAGTGTGTAATGAATCTATAGAATATGTGCGTTTGGCTTTTCTATTATATTTTTAATTTACTAAGATTGGGATTATATATTCAGGTTGTCGCAGTAGCTGATCCAAGAAAGTTTGCTCGCACCAAACTGCAACAGCAGCACAAAATCGAAGATAAAAATGTATTTGAAGGTGAGCATGAAAGCAAAGTATTCAAAACATTTTACATTCTGCCATAAACTGAACCATTAAATCCTTTTTTTTTTATTACTAAATAGACTGGCAGAGTATAGCTGAAAGAGAAAAGTTTGCCGATGCCGTGTTAATTTGCACTCCAGATCGTGTTCATAAGGTAAACATATCTATAAATAACATTTATTTCTTAATTTAATTTCATATGTTCAATTCAGTTTCTGAGTATATACTGTTTTTATTCAAACCGTTTGAAAATTTTGACTTTTCTCTTCGGCTAATGGTTTTAAAAAGCTACTTTCTGTTCCTCAGGATCCTGCTGTGGCCTTTGCAAAGAAGGGCTACCACATCCTTTTGGAGAAACCCATGGCAGTGAGTGTTTGGAGTTTATTATACATAATATAGCTGTTCCTGAGCCCACACAAAAATATATTGAATTCATATTTAATATAAAAAAAAAACGTTTTTTCATCATGTTGCACAAAGACTTAATCCAACTTTTTTGCACAACAATGTGGCTGTGTGACATCAGACAACTGCAGAGGACTGCACAGCGATAGTGGAGGCTTGTACTCAAAATGGCGTCATGCTGTCGGTGGGCCACGTTCTCCGATATGACCCAGTTATTCACAAAATAAAGGTAACTATTAGAATATTTGTTTATTTTATAACAGCTTTGGGTCTTACAAAGATACTTTAGCATTTATTTTTGTAATTAATAGTAATGGCATTTCATTTAGCTAAGACCTAAAGAGGCAACATGTCTAAAAATTAATACTGCAGCACATACAGTGTAATTCTCATGGTACGAAAATAATTATATCCATTTTAGGATTTAGCCAATTCAATTGTTTTTCAGTTATTATTAGTCAGAATTAGTTTTTTTTTTTTTTTTCTAGGAGCTCATTGATGCTGGAGTGATTGGCCATGTGATCCATATACAGCACCTGGAGCCGGTAGGAATGCAAATAAAGCTGAAACTAGCCCATCTGCTTTATCATCAAATACACTTTACACTAACATAATTAGATATCATTAGTCTTGTCTTCCTAACAATTTAAGTGACGTTTGAATTTGGAGATTGCATGGGGCAAAATAAAACGTTTTAATTTGTTATAAAGCTTTTACTGAATCTTGACTCAGTCTTATTTTTCTGTGTGGTCAATTTGAAACATTTTATGTGAAAAAGATTATATTTTGTTACACTTTTAGCATACATTTACATATTAAATTTCAGCCCAGGTCTCTCGTTTATGATAATACAAAAATAATCGTATATTTAACAATAAGCATAATGATTTAGAATTTGTTACAGTGTTTTTAAGTGAGTTTTTCCCATTTCTATTGAAAATGATCAATGTAATCTTACATCAAGTGTTAAAAATGCATCAAATGTTTGTTCCAGGTTGGATTTTATCACTTTGCTCATTCATTTGTTCGAGGGAATTGGAGGAATGAAGCAGAAAGCTCTTTTGCCCTGCTTGCAAAATCTTGCCATGACATCGACCTAATACATCACTGGGCTGGAGCGCGCAGGTAAACATCGCACAGCAATTAATGATCAACTAGTCTTATCTGCAAGGAGAATGCAGTTGGGTCTTAAAAAAAAACTCATGGGAATGTTGATTTGTCTGTTAAGACAATCTGCACAAATAATTCTGAATGCTTCAATCCTGAAAATATTCTTAAAAATCTAATCAACTCTTACCTTGGTGTTGTTAAAGCTGAAATGTACACTTTGTTTCCTGAAAAAATAAATGAATAACTTTGGTACTTGGCAGATGTGTAAAAGTCTCATCATTTGGATCTGTCAGCCACTTCCAAAAAGAAAAGAAGGTACATATTAATTTCTGTCAGTAACAAAGCTGAGATTTTTTCCAGTACTTAACAAAACGGAGCTAAATAGTTTGTTGTTAGCCAACAGGTGCTGGAAATCGCTGCCTGGACTGTTCCATAGAAAGACAGTGCCCGTACTCAGCATGCAAAATCTACCTGGACAGAGTGAAACGAGTAAACATGATCGTTACTAAGTTCCTTATTCTATAAATATCTGACTTCATTATCAGTGAAAAGCATTTGTCGCCTCCTATACAAGTTCTGAAATGCTGTGTTTGTGTGCCAGGGTCACACTGGGTGGCCAGTATCAGTCATATGCTCCAACTCGTTACCCGACATCGAATCAGTAACGGAGGCTCTGAGGACTGGACCGTACGGCCGCTGTGTCTATGAGTGTGACAATGATGTCTGCACCAACCAGGTCTGAACACTAACACAGCGCTGCACCTGTTAATTTACTGTCATGAAAACTCGCGTCCTAACAAAAATGTATACGCTTGTAGTTTACACTGTGTTGAGTGGTGAACAAAGTTTGAGAAATGGTAAATAAATGCTGTTAGTTTTAATCTATGTTCTGACATGAAAATAAGTCATGTGTAATCTCTCTGTGATGGTAATTTCATAATTCATGGACATGTAGATGAACAGATGCTCAGATATATTCATCATTTAACACGGATTCCTCATTTTTCTGGACTGAATAAAACGTGCATTGAATTTAAGGAAATGCAAACGTGAGACGTCATTTACGTTTGACCCATCAAAATGAATGCGGTCATTTATTTACAGAATCAAAGTTTAACATCAAACATTTACATTAATTTGGCAAATTATGAAAATAACAACATAAGCAATCAATCAGGAAAAATCATACGGCCATGATTTTTCCGTTGCTTCACCACAGACATTTATGAAAACTGTACAATTATGATCTTTTACCCACATGGATGTGGGTGAGCATTTTACACAGACATTTCTAAAATATCTGGAAGAATTTCTACTTGAGAGAAAAGTTTAAAGATGAAAGAAGTTAAGAGGGAGTAAGAGGGTGTGTGAGGGGAAGTAAGTGTTTCACCAGAATCGACACTCTCCATCAGAAACCCAGCTCGCCTCGGTACGCTTGGTAGGAAACTTGACCCATTACCTTTCTGATGATAATCAGCAGATATGGTGTTCCGTTAACGCTACCTGTCCAGCGTCTCCTTAGTATGGCTGTAGCTCGTCAGAAGTAGTGGCGAGTGAAAGGTGTTATACTCCCATGGAACTCGGAAGAGCTTGTTGTCATGTCAGGATCATCCCGTCTCTCACAGAACTGAGCAGAGACTGAACAGAACAGAACTTCTCCAGAGCTTCAACAGAACTGGTTGGACTGTGTATCCAGCAGAACTCCAACAGCACTCCATCAGAACTCTCTAGCAGAACTTCCACCGAACCCCATCAGCACTCCATCCGAACTCTTACAGAACTCTTACAGAACTCTTACAGAACTCTTACAGAACTGAGTAGACCAGGAAGTACTGACATTTTAAAGAGCTGTTTCCGGTTCACTTTTGGGAGTATCCCCATTGGACAGAAACAACCAGACGGGGTGTGTTTTGTGACGTAAGAGGTTAGAAGAAAACCAGAATTGTTATGGAAAGATCAGAAATGTTCTCACAGACAGAGAGAGTTTTGTTTTGGCGCGTTTCAGAAACAGGTGCCAAAAACCTCTATATTACGTCTGAGAGGATGTTAAAAACATGACAGTTTTAACATAACAACTTGTTTTGCGTTTTATTCCAACCTTGGACCAACTTACACTTGCTCATTCAAAAGCAGAAATCAGAAAAGGCATAATTACTCTGTAACAGCTTTGACATGAGAATAAAAATCATTACACAGTTAATAAAATTGATTAGTTCACTGCCACATCTAAAATGGTTTGAACTAAGACACTTTGATTATCAACATTTGAAAAATAGTAATGATAATAAAAAGAGAGTGTTCTTTTCACTTGAATCTTCAAGAAAGAAAGTCTCAGGATGGGTGAACCTGTATTTCTGAGTTCAAATCAATGAAATGACAGTCCCTGTCCCACAAGGTTCTTAAGGTCAAGATTTTTGACCTTAGACTTAGTTTTTACATGGGCCTAGTCCACTACAGACACAGGCACTAGAAGTAAGTATGTACACTCCATCCCAAGAGGTTCATCACTTCAACTTTTGTTGTCTTGTTTATCTGTTTGTTTTTTCAGGTTGTCAACATGGAGTTTGAAGGCGGGTTGACAGCAGCCTTCTCGATGGTGGCGTTCACTGAGGAGATATGCAACCGAAAAACAACCATTTATGGCAGCAAGGTATGACCAGTTCAGATTTTGAAATAAAATCTGTAATTTTGAATTGTTTCTTGTATTTTTCTAACGAGCTTTGTCTTCACAGGGGGAGTTGTGCTATAGCGACCAAGAGATTCGTGTGTTTGACTTTCTGACTGAAAAAACAACAAAGCACACAGCAAGCTGTGATGCGCTCAGACACTATGGCATGGGTGGGCATGGTGGGGCAGACTACCACCTCATGAACGCCTTCATTTCTGCTGTGGCAGTGAGTGCTTGCACATTATTCTCCACTCAAAAATCAGCTTATTCATTTTAAAGCTCTTATTTGATATATAACTTTTCCCCACCCTTTGTGTTTGTGCAGAATAATGATCCGTCCCTGATTCGATCAGGACCTGAGGAAACGCTGGTGAGCCATTTGCTTGTGTTTGAAGCTGAGCGATCGCGAGTGGAGAACAGGGTGGTGTACTGCGAGGACTATAGTCGGAGCTAAAAAGATGACAAAGCATTAGTATGTTTGTTATAACTACTAAAGAATGAAACTGGTATTTTGTGCCAGCATGAGTACAAATGAAAGGCCCTAAATCTTGAATGGTGTGTAATAATTTGATAGCAGTTTGTGTTTGGGTGAAGATTTGATAACAGCATGTCAGCTGCTCAGCATGAATACACGTTGGCATCATTGTTTGAATATGTTCTGTTTTTCATCTGTACCAGTGGATTTGTTTTTCTGAACTATTTCTTGTGATACTCAGGGACTAAACAAGTAGTACTGTATAGAAATCTTGGAGCATCTTAATTTTGTATCACTTTATTGAATATTAAAGTGCTGCATTTATTGAGAACATCCGGCCTGATTCCATTTTTTTGTGTTGCTCCATGATGTGTTCAGTAGCTCTGCAGAGCAGCACCATCAGGAAACACGAGGTCAGTTTGTCTTCTTTCTCCGACTCTAAGGGATACATTATAGATCCATTAACATCCACCTCTACTAAAGCCTGAAGCTGTTTTATAACTTGACAAATTTGTTATCTTTATTTCATAAAGAAATGTTTGTAGCTTTACCCACCCTTTTCCTGATTAGTGGCAGCAGAACCTCTTTACTCAACGGCTCATTTTCCTCCAGCAGCTCTGACTCAACCAAATCTGGATCATGGCTGAGATCTGGATCATCACAAAGACTGTAGAGTTAATTTAGCGTTTTAATAAAAATATACTTCTCAAATGAAACGCAGTGGAATGATTAACTTTTGTCACCAGTTGTCTGAAGCCTATGGCTCCTTGTGTACGAATATAAAAAAATACAAGATCCAGCACTTACACTGGTTTTACTGCTGTGGTGGATGTTTTGAACATTCGAGGTTTTATTCCCAGAATCAACGTAGCAATAGCACTGACAGAGCCCATGTCCCACAGATGGCAAATACATTAACGCAAGAAAAAGAGTCACATTACTTGCTTTGAATATCTTGGTGTATATTACAGGTAAATTTTTTTGTATTGTTCTTTTTTACAAATTCAAAAGGATCGAGTGCTGCCAGTTGCAATAGACTCTACAGCAGGGCATGTGTGTGGTGGAATATTCAACTACACAGGCTGTAGAGTATCTGGATGAGTTAATATCAATATACTGGCACTGAAATTCAATTATGTGTCAACTTACCCAAGGGCTTTGTTTTTTGTAAAGGTGAAGAGTGAAAATCTCAACTCTGTCCTCAATCATCACCAGGTACTGTGTGACGTTTTCATTCTGAATATCGAGGGAGCCCAACTCTGAGCTCTTGTAGCACATTTCAAGCAATTTGAGACCTAGAACAGGTGGGGGGGGAAGGGATATTGCACATTATTTATTCAAAACTTGTGTTTTCAAAGGATTTTGTGAACTAAACTGAATCCCCTCACAATAATGAAACTTTTTTTAATGGAAAAACATTTCCAGCATGGAGAAGGAAGATGTGCTTCTGTCAGAAGTATCTGTACTCTTACCTTGTTTGAGCTGATCTAAAAGCTTCTCAATAAATTTTCCTTGTTGTTCATAAACTTCCCGTTGTTGGTCAGCAGCCTTTTGCTTATTGGAAACGTTCAGAATTTGAGCCTGAATCGTTTTGAGTTGCTGCTGCTGCTCAGCTACTAACACATCCTTCTCACTGTGAAGCGTTTAAGTCCAAAACATAATGGTATATTTTAAAACAAAATCACAATTCCCCTTAAGTCTAGGAGCTTAAGTATGCACTAATACACGCAGGCATCCAAAAGCATCACAAACATGAGATGTGTTTCTGAATGGTCTCAACTTTATCATCCTGAGAGTTGTTGAAGGTCTTTAGAACATAGTTCTTCTCCTCCACTTAAGGAAATAGACATTCCATTTAAAAAAAAAAAATTATATATATATATATATATAACACAGAATCAGTCACTTACTTTGTAAAAAGTGAGTCCCTGACTAGATTGTCGAGGTTATGTTCCTCAGTTTCTGCAAGGATTTTGTTGATGACCTCATTCATGTCTTTCAGTTCACACTCCTTAGTTTCATTCTTCTTGGACTTCCTCTCCACTACAGGGACACAAATGAAAGTAAAGTGAAAATTGCACATTGCAAGGTGTGGTCCACTTTTCTTATTATCCTCAAATGCAAATGTCATTCTAAAGAAGTCATACTGGTGCCATGACCCTAACTACAATAAAATCAATTTATTTTTGGTTCCTGAAGGCGTTACCTGTTTAAGACTTACATGTGAACTTACTCAGTGACCCTAACAATCTGGAAAATGGTTAAGGGGTTCAATAAACCAACTCAATCCTATCTTAAAGTACTAATGACATACTACAAGGTTAAATACTGGGAAATACCTTCGGTCCTATAATAACCGAACTGAGCAAGCAAGAATGAATGAGAGGAGATAAATTATTCAAGCAAATACAGGTCCAGGTGTTTTCTATTCTAGTAAACATACTAAAACAAATAATAAAAGTATTTTTGTATCTACTTTGCAGAAAAAAAAATCATAACTCTACTATGTTTTTGGAATTAATTCAGAAAACATCATAGTAATAATTACTAAGAAGAGTAGTAACATCTTTTAAACACAAGGTGTCACTATTGCGTTTTTTTGTTTTTCTACTTGTTCGAGTAGTCAAAATAAATAAAACATGTTCTGTGTGAAGCAGGTTACTGTATTTAGCTCAACTTGTTGAAAAATGTCACAACAATAATAATTAAAGACAAAAAAGTTGTGTCTAAATCAAACATGGGAACATAAATGATGACCTTTGACACAAATTCTGCTCACTTTTACAAATCAACACATTGCTTTAGTTGCAAATCAGAGTCAGTGAGTCAGGGTTTCTTTATTTGTCATTCGCACCACATGTGGTACATGTGGTGGAACGAAATTATGTACATAGGATCCCAGTTATCCAACAATAAAATGTAAAAGAAAAACAGTAAGATCTAAGATGAACGAAGAAAAATGTAACTAAAAATACGCTAAGCACTAGTAGTACAAAAACAATTACAATCTTACAAATTACAAACAAAAACAATTACAGTAACTCTTTGAATTTTTTATATTTTACTTACTCCAGTTTAGAAAACAGTGGTTATAAAATCATGAGGCATACCTTTTCTGTGGTCAGTGTCCTGGCTGATGTGTGCAGCATATTTAATTTTCAAGAAAGCCACAGCACCGCTGTAATAGGAGATTGTTTGTCCCAAGTTTATTTTTTCTCTATTGTATTGAGCCATCTTTTTAGAGTTTTTGTCTTTCAGCGTCTTCTGTTATTCCATTATCTCCACCCTAGATAGAACCATCATTATTATCACAAAATTTAGATATACAGGATGTACTTAAGCGTTGTAAATGTTAACTATTAATATTGTATATGAAGCTTGGTAGTAAGTGGACATATGGAATTGTGCTTTAAACATTAGACAATAAAGTCTAAAACCATTTAGTTCTTATCTTTTCAATAATGTTCATGTTGTCTTCCAAAAGATTAGAGATATAAAGTTGTTTAATAAAATGATTTCATGTCATGCAGAATGATTCACCTGGCATCAACAGTATGAGCACATTTATTCATCAGGTAACTGATGATTCTGTGAATAGTGTGCAACTCCTGTTGGTAATAAAACAAAGTTAATTGTCTATGGTACTTTATTACATCTTGGTACAATTTAAAGTCAGGCAAATGTAATTTCAAAGCTGAGAGAATTTAAGTCTACACCTTTTCCAGCAGCGCTTTAACCTGTAGAAATAGTTTCCTCTCAATCTGTAGTGTCTTCACCTCCTCCCTTAACTCTTCATTCTTGGTCATTAACTCATTCAATAATTTTTGTTCCTTGAGAACAAAGAACCCTTAACTAGCAGTTACATGTAACATGGTGTATTGAGATTAGAAAAACAAACGGAAATCAAAATAATTCATCTGAAAACTTCCAAAGAAATTAACTTTACAAGTATAATACAACCATGTCAAGTTTGTTTTCTGGCAGTGGTGGTGGGATTTTCAGTAAATGTTGGTTCTTAAATGTCCAGTTGTGGTTTACGGCTCCAGGACTTTGTTCTGTCAATTTCTTTTCCCATTCTGCAATCTAAAAAATACAGCACATAGCATCTACTGCAATAACTGAATCTGAAGAACCCAAGTGTGTTGTAGTCTGTAAGGAAGCTGCACCTCACCTGATCTTTCAAAGCGTTTTTCAGCCTCCAGCTCCTCATCCAGTTTGTCTCCATGGGACAACTTGTCGGTGAGGTCTTGAAGGACATCTGCTTGTTTATGAGAACAACACTGGTGTGCTCCAAGACTCCGTGAAAGCTCTTCATTTTTATCCTGCAGCCACTTGATCTCTAAGCTGATGACACAAAAACATAAAAACACACATCTATTACAAAATACATGTCTATCAATGGAATCCTTTGGATAAAAATAATAGACATTTAGGATGATAATAGCTTTTCAATGATTTGGAGCTAGCACAGCAACAAAAAGTGTTTTCTCACCGTATAAAAATGAATATTTGACGTCTACTGACTGAGTTCTGTTATTATACGCTTTGAATTCAAAACTTTATTGATAAACGAATCAAACACAACTAAAAATTTAAATATTAAATTAATATGAGGGAGTGGTGAATATGGTATTTGTAGCAAAGTGAAACATTTCCATTACCATGCTTCACTGGAAGCAGCATTTTGAATACAAGTTTTTTTTTATTTTACAGTATATATTTAAATATGATTTATTTATTATTAAGGTAAACGGTCGACTGGATGCAAGGAGGGAACAATATTTAGAATCAAAGGGTACTTATGCACATGATGAAAATTTAATTTATTTTTTCGTTTTTTTATTACTTTTTTTTTCAATGATTAATGATAATAATGGGGACAAGTCAAGAACAAAAATACATTACTCGAGTGAAGTTTTCTGCTATGAAATAATTCCAGTTAATTACGTTAAAACCAATATAAAAATAAATAGATTATTGTAGACAATAGGTCATTTCAATATGGAGCAACACAGCTTGTGGGACCTACGTACACTGAGTTTTATTATTTAATACATTTTAATCTAGGCAAAGGTAACTATGCACATTATCTTCCCAGTTCAGTGTGACTCATGATTTTACAGTCATAGATACTTTACGATGACAGTCATCTTGAACAACTTTCCAGTTGTTTTATCAGGACATCACATTCCAATATGGAGGGAGGTGCCCTTAATTACCCTTAGAGCACAATAATGCCATCAACAGCGCACCATTCCTGGACCTTGCAACACATGCAGGGATGACTAATTCTAACGTGCGACCCACAGTCCCAGTGGATCACACTGTTGAGGATTGGATTGTCAAAGTTATACGACTGCTTTAAAAAAAAACAAGGGAGTGTAGAGAAAAGTGATGAAATGATTGAATCACAGAAATGTTTGAGCTTGGGCCAGAATGGGATTACTTTAGTGACGTGAATGGGCACGTCTTCAAACATCCTTCCATCTATTTTCTTCACCCGTTTCTCCTTTATGGGTGGTGGGAAGCTGGTGTCTTATCTCCAACTGTCACTGTGCAAGAGGCAGGATAAATCCTAGGCAGGTTGCAATTTCATTACAGGGCCACATAAAAACCAGAGAAACAACTGCTCATATTCTTCCCAACACCTAGGGACAATTTAGTGTCACCAATTATCCTAACATGCGTGTGTTTGATCTGTGGGAGGAAACCAGGATCCCCAAAGAAAACCCATATCACCCAGAAAGGCTCCAGATTGGAAAGCGATCCTATGACCTTCTTGCTGAGAGACGACAGCTCTAACTACTGCTCCCTCGAGCTGCCGCTTTCAAATATTTGCTGGGATTTCATGAAACTTCAACAAATCTCAGAGCAATGAAAAAGCTCCTATTTTGGACGTAATAATCTCAACCTCTTCTTCTTTTCTCAGGGTGATGAAGGCTGCTCTGAAGGTCTTTCCTTGTCTCCTTTAATAAATCATCTTCACAAAAACAGGTTAGACACACACACACACACAAAATGCCACATACACTGGTGACTTAGTCCAGGAGACAAGTTTGCCAACTGAGTCAGCAGCTGTATTTCTAAGTGACTCAACCCATCCACCTCTCAGCCCTTTCGTTTCTTCGTGCCCTGCCCTCAACCCTCCTTCACACATAAGTGTGCAATTAATATGGTTAACGCAAGCTCTTTCCTCACTACATCATCACTTCCTCCCTCTTTACTAGAGCACATTCACAAATACACACAAGAAATGTAAAAATATTTTACACGTGGGACTTTAAATTCAGTGACTTAAATTTTCATATATATTAAGGTTTTATTATTATGTCTTTAGCTCCCCTTTTTTTTGCTTCAAGCTGTATTTTCCTTTTAATGATGACAACGTGGTAAACTATCTGCCAAGCTAACGATCCTTTAATCCTCTAAATAATAAATCAGGTCACACTGTAATGAAGAGGCATCTGGATCTGCTTGTTATTTAAAACTCTGGCTGTTTCCAGACAGCGATTTTTGCTGGAGGTCTTTTACAACGTCACACAGCATTATTCCCAACGAGACGCATCAGTGAACTAGGAAGTGGAGGAGGAAAGCAGAGAAGGGAGCAGTAAATTGTAAAACATGGTGCAGTCTGGCTCCACGCGTGACTCAACAGGAAACAATGGAGATAAAAGTAAGGTGAGAGACAAAAAGGGAGGCGGGTTGGAGTGAGAAAAGAGAAAGAGTGAGGAGGGAAAAAAAGGAAGTTTGACTTTGTCATGCTTCAAGACTTCAGGTTATTTAGTGGGGTGAGACAAGAATAAGAGTCATAACAATCATCTTTTCTTAAGTAATCTGTGGGCCATGGCCTAATCATCCCCCCACTCGTTATGCAGTGTGAACAATGAACTCATGCTTACACCCTAAATAAACATCAGTCACTCAACATGACCAAACTTGACCAGTTTCCGTTTGGCCTGCTGAAGCTGACCCTGTGCATCATGCGCTAAAACAAACAAACTTTGGCCTCGGAACAAGGTGTCCATGCTGTGGAGGTTTCAAATATTGACACTTGTTTCCCCAAAATGAAAAAAACTCTGCCTGTTGAGTGAAACTGAGTCAGTTTGAACAAACAGTATTGTTTAATTTTACCAAATCAGAAAAAAAAAAAAAATAATAATAATTTAAAACAATTTCTGCCAGCTTGTGAAAGTTAATGTCCTAGCCTTATCCTTGTTTAAAGTGACGCCGTTGACAAATTAGAAGTCAGCTTTAAAGGCATGTTCCTCCTCAGCCTACTTTTTGAGGCCTATAACTGCAGCTAAAGTAACTCCCAACAATAGTTGTAAATCTAGGTCACATTTGGACATTTTATTGCACTTGTCCCCTTGAAATCAAACTCCACACATTTTATTGTTGCCATTTCCTCCAACAGTTTGCCGGCCTACAATGTTTTGTCCTCCTCAGCTGGTGCTGGGAAAATTCACTTTTAAATACAGTATCTGTGTCTTTTCACAAGAAATAGCACCACCATGTTTATGTTTATTTGTGTCTATATGTATTTTATGGAAGTACAGCATACAAATAATTCATCTTTGGAGAACTCCTTTCAAGATGGCCACCACAGCCAGCTAGCTCTATGCAACATACCAACACTGATTAATCAAATTACTGATATTGAGCTGAAATTTGGTGAGGTAGTATCACAACATGTACTTTACACATTGTGTATTTGTATCTTTGCAGACAACTTTGGCACTAACTGTTAGGGTCAACTGTCTGTTTGTTAGCAAAATATCTCATGGAACAGCTTTTAGTTAAACTCTCAAGAATGGCTGTATATCTAAAAATCTTTTATTGGAGACAATCCAATTTAAGATGGCCACTGCAGCTAATTGAAGTTAGCCAACTCAAAAATGGCTATAAATTAGTCAGCTTCAAAGAATATGAGCTAATGTTTGATGTGGCAGTAGCTGAGAGTCATCTTCAACACCTTCTCTGAGTACTATCACATCTTGTAAGAGCTCACTGCATGTAATCCTTTATTACAAGGTTTGACCAATAACTCCATTTGTTCTAAGCACAAGATCATTTTAGTTTAAATTTCTGGCATGAAAGATGGTGAACAGTGTGTGTTGTGTCGAGGAATGCTAGGCCTTTAATAGCATTCTGTAATATTTTAAATCTTATTTTTCTTTGTGGTTCTCAATATTACCGAACCGTTCAACAATCAAATACAGCCTAAACATCAGACGTCACAGAAAGAGGTCAAAGGTCATGGTGCAAAGCCTACTCAAAATCTGAGGAGCCCAGTTCCTTCCTAACACCTCCAGCTTGTCAAAACTAACCTCAGATCCTTCTGCCTGTAGAGATTAGGCAAAGGATGTGCATTTCAAAACACCCACAACAGTAGCTACACATAATAAATGCTATTAATTCCAATCTTAGCCATAATCGTTTCATGTTAACACTGAAACATAAATATTTCATGTCAGGCTACAGGAAGTGGTGGGTGGAAACACTGAGTAACGAATCAGATCAGAGAGTTTCTCAAGAATTTGTTCCTGCTGTTTAACAATTATTGGATGACTCCACAGCAATGTTTATATGGCTAATCAGTGGATTAGTATTTTATCCTATTACACCTGCAGATGCTGCAAATCTAGTATTTTTTACACCCTCATGCATTGCCAATATGTGTGCTATAAACAGAGCTGTCTTGTGTATTTTTTTTTTTACTCAGCACCATTCCTGAAAGATTCACTGGAGCAAAAGCTTTACTGTTAAAAAGAATGTGAAACGCAAACACGAGCGAGGTCGACCGTGACGTTAAGGACGGAAGCAGGCCTGTCTGTTTGCGGTCTGTAACGGTACTCTAATTGCTATTACGTGTTTGTCCACAGCTGGTTCCTCTATATGAGAATTCCCTGTGTCACCATGTCAGCACATCATCCACCCACGCAAATACATTCACCACAGAAAACACATGTTAACACCTACTTTCTTCATCTCTTGTCCCAGCTTGAGTCATTATGAAATAGACGGTTATCTTCAACGATATTTCTAACGTCACGGCTGCTGTTCACAGCAATTTCTGGCAAGATGTGAACCACTTAACAACCAAGCTGCCGTAGCTGTTAAAGCTTAAACTTCTGTCAGCTCTTGTAATGTTTTTTTCCTCCTCTATCAAACTGACTTTCCTCATATTTGGAAATTGTTAAAAAGGAAAAAGGAAAAGAAAAACGCTTGGGTTGGGGGTGGTTACATGTGTGAAAGGTGGGATTCTGAGTGTACTGACAGCTGAGAGGGGCAGAGGTCTCTGAGAGCAGGAAATGACTTGACCTCTGCAATGAAACACTGATCCACAGCAGCAGCAACTCCCAAAGCTCCATGTCACCCCACACACCCACAGATGAATGCAGAGCAGCCTCTGAGCTGCTGGTCCAAGCAGAAAGCATTTTTCATCTCAAATTATCCAAACGACTTGGACATTTTTTTCAAATGAGACATTATCAACCATATTTTACGGCAAACGCCTACATTTGTTTTGTCCTGTGTGACAGCGGGCAGCAGTTTCACCTCTTTGTGAGATCACACGTGCATTTCATTGCGCACTATGAAATCAAAGCTTATTTGCTTTAAAAAAAAAAACAACCTATGAGTCTTCCTTTAAACAAACAAATGGCGTCGAGGACAGTTAGTGATTTGCTCAATACCGTATTCATTTTATAGGTTTATGATTCACAATGAGCATAAGTCACTCCTTAAGCCATATATGAGCCTATATGTGGGTCTATTCCACAATAAAACATGTTTTCATGTTTCTGAGGCAGTTTGATGTCTGAGGAAAAACTGCAGGTTTTGTTGGGTCACTATGCGATTAGACAAAGAATGACCCGCACTCTCTTTCTTGCTTGTTGTTTTTAAGTTTGTCCTTCAGCAGCTCTGTGGTCATGGACAAATGCAGACAGTCGAGTTTGACATGCAGGCTTCAAAACAAATTTTCATCCACCATGACTGAGCTGCCAATCAGCTCGTCCTTCTTTATCTGTTCTGTGCTCGGTCCACCCACGTGCTCCCTGACTCCTACGCAGGGCAGGCCAAAAATTGTTTACCACTTCTAAAACTCATGCCCTATACTCTCATTACACAACACAAATCAAATGGTTATGAATCAGAAGAGTTCTGGAACGCTTGTTTCTTTTTACACGTTTTGAAGCTTCTGAACCTTTTTATTGTCTGGTAGCTGGGAATTTGAGTGTCACAGCAGATCATTAAAGACATATTGCAATCAAAAAGTTCAGAGCTTATTTTCTGGTTCATAGAAGTGATAGTGGTCTCTTGAATCCTCTGTCACCATGTTATATGGAGCATATTGTCAACATAAACTGCACTGTGTTTTAAAAATGGCATTTGATAGAAAAGGTGTTTGTTAAAATGCCTTTTTATGAGCTCTTTAATGCATCTCAAACTTATACCGTAATTGTCATATTTTAATTGAAATGCAATGAAGACCAGTCAAATAGGAAAAAAAAAAACTTTACAAAGAAACAAAATCCACATATTTTTTTCTTACACTGATGGGCATTGTAAGCTACATTTATGAACGGCTGCCAACCAAATAAGTTTGTTTGTCTATGAAGAAAACCCCAAAGTGACTGAAAACAGGCCAACAATAGTCCATGGAAGAGTTATCTGGTTTGGAGAAATCAATTTTGATGTACTGGTCTCAGCAGTGGCTATTCTACCATTCTAGTGCTTAGCCCCCAGTGTTGACAGTGGCTCTTGGATTGAACAACATGGTGGCCATTGACATCAGAAGCATTTGTATTGTAACACCCAAGTACTTGTAACTGGAGACCACTCCACCACAGATCCTCCTATGTTCAGGGGGCAGTGTAGGTGTGTTTGATCCTTCTGAAATCCACAACCATCTCCTTTGTCTTCTTCACATTGATGTGAAGGTTGTTCTTCCTGCACTAGCTCTCCAGATGTTCCACCTCCTGCCTGTAGCTGGACTCATTGTTGTTTGTGATGCATCCAACCACCGCTGTATCATCTGCAAACTTTACAATGTGACAGCCTGGATGGGTAGGTGCGCAGTCATACCGTACGTGAGCAGAGTGAACAGAAGAGGGCTCAACACACAGCCCTGAGGGGAGCCAGTGCTGAGGGTTATGGTGGAGAAGAAGTTGAAAAATAATGGTTTCTTTTATTTTAAGGGTGCTGAGTTAAAATTTAGAGGTGCTTCAGCGCCCTCAAAATGAGACTAAAATCACCCATGGGTCTCAGATTGGTTCAGTAAAGTATGCAAGATCTGACTGTTGTCTCATTTGCGTTCTCTTTTTTTCCTCCATGTCTTGCAGCAGATCCGCTCTTAAATTTCCACATTAACATCTTCTCAGAGTTTCTACGCTTTTCTGATGACCCCGTGTTTGTTAACCTACATCCAGCCTAATGTAGGCCAATAATGTGACTCACGTGGTTTTCAGCAGATTCAGCTAAGTGCTTTGTTTACATTGAGTGCGTACCCGCATTTCAGATTTGTGTAATTATATATCTGGAAAAGCTACTATAGCATATTATATATTGCCAAAAGTATTCACTCACCTGCCTTGACTCACATATGAGCTTAAGTGACATCCCATTCCTAATCCATAGGATTCAATATGACGTTGGTCCACCCTTTGCAGCTAGAGCAGCTTCAACTCTTCTGGGAAGGCTGTCCACAAGGTTTAGGAGTGTGTTTATGAGGATTTTTGACCATTCGTCCAGAAGCGCATTTGTGAGGTCACATACTGATATTGGACGAGAAGGCCTGGCTCTCAGTCTCTGCTCTAATTCATCCCAAAGGTGTTCTATTGGGTTGAGGTCAGGACTCTGTGCAGGCCAGTCAAGTTCATCCACACCAGACTCTGCCATCCATGTCTTTATGGACCTGCTTTGTGCACTGGTGCACAGTCATGTTGGAAGAGAAAGGGGCCAGCTCCAAACTGTTCCCACAAAGTTGGGAGCATGGAATTGTCCAAAATGTCTTGGAAAGCTGAAGCAGTCAGAGTTCATTTCACTGGAATTAAGGGGCCAAGCCCAGCTCCTGAAAAACAACCCCACACCTTTATCCCCCCCTCCACCAAACTTTACACTTGGCACAATGCAGTCAAACAAGTACCGTTCTCCTGGCAACCGCCAAACCCAGACTCGTCCATCAGATTGCCAGATGGAGAAGCATGATTCGTCACTCCAGAGAACACACCTCCACTGCTCTAGAGTCCAGTGGCAGCGTGCTTTACGCCACTGCATCCGACACTTTGCATTGCACTTGGTGATGTATGGCTTGGATGCAGCTGCTCGACCATGGAAACCCATTCCATGAAGCTCTGCTCACTGTTCTTGAGCTAATCTGAAGGCCACATGAAGTTGGAGGTCTGTGATTGACTGCAGAAAGGTGGCGACCTCTTTGCACTATGCGCTTCAGCATCCGCTGACCCCGCTCCGTCAGTTTACGTGGCCTACCACTTTGTGGCTGAGTTGCTGTCATTCCCAAACACTTCCATTTTCTTATAACACAGCTGACAGTTGACTGTGGAATATTAAGGAGCGAGGAAATTTCACGACTGGATTTGTTGCATAGGTGGCATCCTATCAGTTCCACGCTGGAATTCATTGAGCTCCCGAGAGCGACCCATTCTTTCACAAATGTTTGTAAAAACAGTCTCCATGCCTAGGTGCTTCATTTTATACACCTGTGGCCATGGAAGTGATTGGAACACCTGATTCCGATACTTTGGATGGGTGAGCAAATACTTTTGACAATATAGTGTTAGTTCAGGGTAATATTTTTATGTTTGCTTTATAGAGTCAGAGAGAGTCAGAGATTTTTTATTGTCGTTCCACCACATGTGGTACATGTGGTGCTACGACTATATGTACACAGGGTTCCAATTACATCCAACAATAAAATGTAAAAGAAAAACAATGGTAACATCTAAGATATGAACTAAGAAAAACATCAACTAAAAATACACTAAGCACTAACATCATAAAAACATTACGTCGAACAGCAGCACGAACATGAGCATGAGTCTGTGTAAGCAGAAGCATGCATGAACACTTCAACATGAAACAGATCAGCAGCAACATTGAAACAGATCAGCAGCAATATTATGTGATTTTTCACAGTGATTATTCTGGTTGGATATTCATGAGTCTAACAGTCTCAGGGTAGAAACTGTTCCTCATTCTAGTGGTTCTACTCTTAATGCTCCTTAGGTGGCCCTCTTCCTGCATCTGGAGGTGTAGATGTCTGTGATGGTGGTGAAACTGACTCCAACAGACTTCTGTGCAGCCTTCACCACTCTCTGCAAAGCTTTTCTTTCTGCAGCTGTGCAGCCTCCATGCCACACATTGATGCTGGAGCACAAGATGCTCTCCACTGCACACCTGTAGAAGGAGGTGAGGACTGAGCTTCCCAGTCCAATGAGTACCTTTAATATTTTTACATTATGGTTCTGCTGTTGAGAGAGTGAATGGTTGTTTGTCTCGTTTGTCTCTATGTGTCTCTGTGATGGACTTGCGACCCGTCCAGGGTGTACCCCGCCCCTCACACAGTGATTGCTGGACATGGGCACCGGCGACCCCCGTGACCCAAAATGGAATAAGCGGGTAAAGAAAATGGATGGATGGATGGTTCTGCTGTTTTATTTGTAAATAATAATAAAAAGCAAATGTATTACTAAAAATAATATGAAGGGAGAAACAGCAACGTTAAGAAGAACCTTCAGTTTGTTTCCTTAAATTTATTTGGTACATTTATTGTGTGAATGTTTATGAAGCATTCACACTATGATCCTTTTTTTTTCCGTACATTTTTCAGCATCTTTCTCGTTCCATAATTTTTTGTGCTATTTCAACAAATCATAAATCAAAACGTTCAGCTTGTTAAGGAGAAGGGTGCTATGACTTTTAGTATTGGTGCAATTTTAGATTTTTGAAATATTTAGCCTTTTCTGCCACTTTTTTTCTCATAGAAAATTAATTGAGCTTCATTCAGCTTCCTTGTGCAAATGTAAGCTTTTTTCAGCTACTTTCAGTTGTTTTTTCAGCTGTTTTGTGATCCTTTCAGATTATTTCTGCTAACTACAACATTTTTGTGCTTCTTCTAAATTCTTTCTGGCTTGTTATGCTCCTTTCAGCTTATTTTTGCAAGTTTCAGCTTTTTCTGCTATTTCAGCTACAATTTAGCTGTTTTATGCTAATTTGAGCTTTTTTTTTTGGCTAATTCCACATTTTTTGCACTTATGTGCAACTTGTTTCAGCCTAATTCAGCAAAAATGTGCTTTGACTCCACTTTCGTCTGGTAATGTAAACTTCTGTCTGCCTTTTTAGCTACTTTTCAACTTGTTTTAGCTTATTTCAGCTTTTTTCAGACAATTTCCACTTTTTTGTGCTCATTTCGGCTTCTTTCAGCAAGCATGTGCTCTTTCTGCTTTCTTCTAATTTAATTCTGTTGTACATTTTCAGCAACTTTTTTTTTAGCTAATTTTGGCTGTTTTCAGATAAATCCAAGTTTTTCATAGCACTACTTTCAGCCTAATTAACTTCTTTCTGCTAATTTCAGCTTGTTATGCTCCTTTCAGATTTTTTTCTGCTAGTTTCAGTTTTTTCCTGTTATTTCAGCTAAATTAACAGTTTTTGTGCTAAATGTAGCTTTTTCAGCTAATTGCACATTTTTAGCTCAATTTCAGCTCCTTCCACTTACTTCTGGTAGTTTAAGCTTCTTTCAGCCGGATCAATTACTTTTCAGCTAAATTTCAACCTTAAAAAAATCAGCCTTTCTTTTTTTTTAGTTAATTTCCTAATTTTTGTGCTCATTTCTGCTTATTTAAATCTAATTCAGCAAAGTGTTCTTTCTGCATTAGGCTTGTTCTTCCATTTCAGCTACATTTCAGCATTTATGTATTTTTAGCTAATTTCAGCTGTTTTTCAGCAAGCTCTTCAGCAATTTTCGCAGGAAATGCAATTTTTCTGCTGTGATGTTTTAAGCTGCCATGAGAGGGATTTTTCCCCTTTAAGGCATTTTTGGGTGGAGTTACAGGAACGTGAACTGGGTGTTGGACTCGTTTAAAAGGCCTTATGGAAAAGTGCGTCACTCTGACCGAATCAGTTTCACCTCCCCGTGTTGTTGACACAGGAGGGATGTTGCACATGGTTCTGATCTGATTGGGACACCCCGGCTCAGGACAGGGAGGACCCGCTCCGAGCCCAATCCACGCCATGGACTCATCGTCAGCCATTTCACGGTAAAACATTCAACATTTATCAAGTAATTTCACAAGAAATGGTTATAAAAATACTCGAGTAAGATGAGCAGGAGCGACGAAGACTTTTAGGAATAATCAACTGGCCATTAAACAGGCTTGTTTTCCTCACGGAAACCTAACTACGGGTAATTGCATGTAGACCTTTTGCTTGAAACATAGACACCGCTTCTGCTCGTGTTTTTTTTGGGGGGTTTAAAGGCCAAATAAATAAATACAATAAAAGAGATGGGGTTATTTGTCCAGCGGGACCGGTGTCATCAACTGAGCCGAACTACGCCACTTTGTGCCGGTAGGGGGCGCTAAAGTTTATCCAAATTACAGTAATAGGACACGTAATAAAACACGTTTATCTGAATAAAAAATCAACAGTAATCTACAGTTACACTAAACTCTTGTGAATGAGTTTAATTGAGGTGTCATAGGTCAAGTTTGTGGTTTATTGACTACCACTTTTTTTTTTTTTTTTTTACATGAAGTGTTGAAAAGGTTTTTTTTTTCCTCCCATCCATCAGTATTAAAGTTACTGAAAGTATTGTATGACTATCTGCTCAGGAACCATGAAAATCAGAAATAGTCTAATGTTATAACGTTTCTGTTTACCTCTTAAAAAGGGTTATGTTAAAGACTGCATCTCGGGGTTGTTTAGATGTTTTTGTGCTTTTATTGTTATCAGTGTTTAATTAATATGTTTTCACTTTTTGTACACAATTGGCCATTAGAGTTTTATAATTATAATATAAATGCAAACGTGACAGTAGAGCATTGAAGAGTATCATGTTATCACAGATGGTAGGAACAATACCAGCTTTTATACGTTAAACTAGAGGTCTTTTTCCTTGCAAAAAGTGGCTTTTTATCACCCACATGCCTTTTATTGTGTTTATTGTACTGTTTTATGTTGTATATGCCTATTAACAGTGTAAAAATTGTGATTAATCAATTGCCAGGGACATGGTAAAGTTGCATCTGGCCTATTAAAACAGATGGCATGTTGAGTACAGATTGAGCATCCTGCAACTCTATTTTGCCGATTAGAAAAACATATTTATCTTTTAACAAAGTAACTAAAGCAGTCCATTTTGATTCTGTTGGTACATAAGCTCTAATCAAGCCTTTAAAATCTGTTCTGACAATTATTTTCTGAAATGTTCTTTGGTTGTGACCTACAAACGCCATGCATGTTTTTGTGGTAAACAACACCCCAGTTTTTTCTATGTGCTGAGGTCAGTTAAATTAGTGATTTCATTCTAATTCAAAGCACACGTTTCATGTAAGCACTATAAAGTAATTAGCTCATTTGTAATGGTTTGGTCAGTCAATAGCCTAGAGAGAGAAAATAAAAGATGGCTGGCACTGCCAAGGACAACACGTCAAGGTTCCTGCCCGAGCTGAACAAACTGTTTTCTCCAACCTGTGTCTCGCGCCAACACACGCAGTCTTCCTGCAAGCGATGTGTGGCACAGGCTCATGCTTTGCCCATGCAGGCTGGTCTCCATGGCAGATCTCTAGTCCTAACCTCATGGGAGAGTTCACTTGTATTTTCAGGCTTGCTCAACTCCGCTTCAAAGTGGCACAAAGGCCCATTCATGGCTGAGAGTGGCTCCATTCATGAAGCCTGAGTAACTGCCCAAAGAATTCTGAAATGTTCAGCATCGTCCATCTCCGAGGCTCACGGGTGGAAATGACGCCACAGACAGTTGGTTTAAGGACGACATTAATATTCAAAGACACACATCAGACACTGTTTTGTCTGTAGGGAGGTTGTCTTTGCGTGCTCTGCATTGTTTGCTTCCCACTTAAACCATGAATCAATCAGAAGTCTGGCATGAAACAAAGCAGGAGTTTTGAGGAATGAAATGCCACTACTTGACTTTAAGATTGTGTTTGGCCTTTATGTATTGTTTACAATTGCTGTTTAAATGTGACATTTTTAAAACAATTTTTTTTTATCAAGAAGCATCAATAATGGATGGATTCTGTTTTCATAGAGGAAGTAACTTTTTAAATCGGCACAGTATTGGGGAGATGTTCTGGTCTGCTTGAACTGTGCTTTACATCAGTCGCAGTCTTTGGAAAAAATACTGTTTGTCTTTTCAGCAGCTGGGTGATGGATCATTTTCTGATACATTAATAAAAAATTAAAAAAACACAAGATCAAACTTTGCGACACGTCGGATGAAGTGTTTGTCCTGCAGCATCACAGGAATGCTGTACAATTAGCCCCTGTTGTGAGGGCGGATACTGTCGTGTTTCATGGTCAAAGAGAGGAAGCAGCATTAGGAGTGCTCTCCCCCTCCCTCCCCTCTCTCTCCCCCACATTTGACCCAGAGGTTGTGCAATAGGCTGGAACTACAAAGCGATCCGTGCTGTACTGTACACCAGCTGCCAGAGCAGACGGAAGTTATTTACTGGGTTGTTGTTTTCGTACACCCAGATAAAATGGTGAACAAGTGTAGTTTGTTTGTTGTGGCTTGCAGAGTTTAAGATGATTTTAAAACGTGAAAAGCTGTCATCATGTACTCCTTTTTTATATATATATTTTTTTTGTTCAACTTAGTTACATATTTATCATATAGTTTTTGTTACACCAAAGTGTCTCAATGCCAACCCATCTTAATTCATATATGTCATGGTTTTTGTGAGTTTCTATTTTAAATTTCAAGATATCCAATTGTGTTGGCTTGTACATGTGTCTTGTGTGGCTGTGTGTGCAGTATTAGGTTCTTGATGCACCGTATTGTCAAAGATTAGGAGTGTGTTGTCTTTGTGCACACTGTGTAACCCAGTGGTTCCCAACCATGGTCCTTGAGGAACGCCGTTCTGCATGTTTTTAGTTGTTTCCCTGTTCCAACACACCTGATTCAGTGATTTTATCACTACTTCAAGTTCTACCAAAGCCTGTTAAGCACCCATTCATTCAAAGCAGGTGTCAAAGCAGGGAAACAGCTAAAACATGCAGGGTGGTGTTCCTCAAGGACCAGGGTTGGGAACCACTGGTAACCTACCGGCTCTAACGAGGTTTTGTCTCTCCGACAGCTCACCGCTACCTAAAAGGATCTTGAAATGGGTTTCTTCAAGCTGAACTGCGTCAGTCAGCATCAAATAAACCTGGAGTTATAAGGGAACAATTTTGAACACAACATGGATGGAAATCAGAACGTCTGGGGACAGCAGAACATGAACAGGTACAGAAATGGTATGCTAATATAGCAAAATAATTAAAAAATAAACATGAATGTGGATGCTGTGTAAATCTTAGCCTAATTGTTTGACAAATTATTAACAATAAACACATTTCAGTTTTAGTGCTCCGAGTTTGCTTAGAGGAATAAAGAGTTTATTTATTGAAGAAAAAAATATGAATCCTCAAAAATAAAATAAGATTGAGAATGTCAGAGTAAGAAAAGACTGCCATTTCTGAAAGTAACAGCAGAGAGACGCGCTATATTTGTTTTTCAACATACAATGGCTAACAGTTTCCACGCAGGAATGATTTACACGTATGGTATGGATTTCTCAACCTGTGCTGCGTTGCAGATTTTGCTTCGGTCCGAGTGCTGGCGTGGAGCGCAGCCTGAGGGAGCAACAAACTGTCAAGGAACAGAACTGTGAGTACTTTTGTTTTAAATTATACTTTTAAATTGAGTGGTTTCAATTTTTTTTCATGAATTGGTAACTTGACTAAATCACAAAGTTTTTCTTATATTCAAATACTGCAAATTGTATTTATTTGTAATGTATTTATTGTAATTGAAATTTGCAAAGCTGCTCGTTACCAAATTAGACTATTTTCTTTTTAAATGACAGATTTATTGATGCAGTTTGAAACTGGTCAAATTTTACTACAATATTATCAGTAGGACTTTTATATTCTTGTGCTTAGTCTTATTTGTCCAATAAAATAGTTTGTAGATGATGATTTTGGAATATTGGAGCAGAGTTGTGTGTCATAGCAGGGACAAAAAGAGGAAGGGGGGGGAAGCTTCTTCTCCCTGGTCACCAGCTGCTCCTGCAGTCTGGGGCACGTCGGATGTTTCCACGGGGAATGTTTTGGGAAGTTCAGTGAAGATTGTGGCCCGCTCTGCAGATCATGACGATTCCTGTGTTAATCAGGGTGTTGTGGCTGATGTTTGACGAAACGGGTGATAGGTTAGCGGTTGTTTTTCCAACATGTTTTTACTCCAGTTTCCTGCCCCGTATCTGTTTTTTATTAGTCGTTTTCCATGTTTCTTCCTCCGAGTTATTTTTCTACACTTCAGAAAGCAACAAAGATAGCAGAACTTAAATAAGAAAGAAAGGATTTCTTGGTGCAACAAAGAATTTAGATTTTTTTTTTGTCTAATACACCGTATGTTTCTCTCTCCACAGCAAACATCTCCTTCTCTCTTTTCCCCCTTTTCTCCGATTCCTACCACCTAACCTCAGAGGACACACTGCTGCCCAGTGAGGGAGACCAGGTGGTCCCGTCCTCCCAGAAACAAGAAGCATTTGGGGGCCACCAGAAAGAGGTCAAACCCCTCCCTCCTCTGCCTGACCTTGAGGAGTTCATGTCAGATGAAGCTGCTGACAGCGAGGTCGAGTTTTTTACCAGTGACCGCCAGAGCCTTTTGCCCAAAAGCTGCCCGAAGGCCATTTGTCGGGGCAGCAACAAATTCAGCGGCCAGGTAAACCATGCCTACAGGGAGAGCTCGATGCTGGACGGAGGAACTAGGTGTGGCTCCATGGCTTTCTCTTGGCCCAACAGAGAGGACAGACCAAGTAGCAGAAGAAGCAGGTTTGAAGCTAACAGTTTTAACTTCGCTCCCCAGAAAGAAAACCAGTTTGGAAGCAAGGAGCCAGAACAATACAAAGTGTCCAAAATCCAGTTTTCCTGTTCAGGTTTTCCTGTTCAAGCACACGTGAGCTCCACAACCTGTCCCACCGAAAAGCCAAAACTTCCTCCTCGTGTCCCCATCCCACCTAAACCCTCGGCTCTTTTAAAGAGCACCAACGAAGAAGATAAGCCACCTAAAATCCCTCCAAGGGTCCCTTTAGTTCCACCCTGCCCATCTCGCACGCCGAGCCCCAAAAGTCTCCCCATTTACATTAACGGAGTGATGCCCGTCACTCAGAGCTTCGCTGCTAATCCAAATTATGTTAGTAAGGCCCTGCAGAGACCGCAGCGTGAAAGGGCACCGCCTCCTACGCAGCTTTCGCCATGTATCGTTCCCATTTTGAAGGATGGCAAACAGACCAGCGCCACACACTACATTCTGCTGCCGCCAGGCTGCCCGGCTCGTACCGAGAGACGAGAGAGACTCCTGAGCGAACCGAACCGGGCAGGAAGTACCGGCGCCTGGCATAAAAGATAAAAACTGAAATCTGAATTGTATAAAATCGTCATTTAGAAGTACATTATTGCACAGTGTGTGAAAGCAGGTACTCACATGTCTAATGTTTTTACAGACTTTTCAATGTGTCACTGTGAGATTTGTGTTTTTGACTGAACATTTTACCGGTCAGTATTCTATGGACCTCTAATTCTTATTCTTTTCTTTTTTTTTTAAACAACCCACAACACACAGTACAGTGCAGTGTTATATTCTCACAAACGGTGGATAAAAATATACCTCCTTCAACCATTTTCAAGCTGAGAAGCTGTTTTTGTAAAGTAAAAATGCATCGTTAACATTAACCCTGACAGCCATGTGCACGACATAAAACCAGCCTGAGCTCATGCCGTCTCACAACAGAGCAAATGATTCAAGGTACAAGCTGGGCTTGTCCCCAACTGTTCATAGCACTTGTGCTTTTTATGAGAATGCTACTTGTAAAGCCTAATATATTTATAGATTTATTAAGACAAGTCATTCTCATGGTAAGAATTATGTTGAACGTAATTTTCAGTAACATTTAATAGCACAACCATGACACTCGTGGAACTAAAGGCATACGATGAGTCTAATCATAAGTATCAATTTATTTTGCTACAGTTCACCGTTTAGATTTTTAGTACATTTTTTTTGTCCCAACCAGCAGCGTCCTACCATGAAATAATGACTTCAAAGGTACATTCAGTGATCTGAATACAAACTAATCTAATTTTCCTTTTAAGATAAATATCCAAACCAATTAAAAAACAGATAATTTGGTCTAAATGTAGCTCTTACATTAAAAGTACAGGTTTGTCCTTTCAGTTATTTGTTTTTTTTAGATGGAATTAAAAGTCACATTTATACCTTAAGGCCAATGTTTACTTTTATTTTTTGTTACACCAGTTTCTTGGAAGTTCTCATGAAGGTTCAGCGTTGGTTGTGCCCTAGATAAGGCTTCAAGTTTATCATTGTGTCAAAAGTAAATAACTGTTTTGTTTTAGATGTATTTATGGAAAATAAATAACTTATTCCTTGAATGATTTACTTTCTTGTTTTTGCACAACACAAAAGCTCTGAAAATAAACTTTTAAAGGGTTTTTGTTCAGTTTCACAAACTTTTGTTGGTTATAATGAACACATTGCTTAAGTCTCCCACTCAAATAAACATGGAGTGTTTACTTAAAATATGCATTCCAATCAAGAGGTTTGAGGCTTTTACGTTTTTTATTTAATGTTTTTTACAACTCAGAACATTTTGGGGAAAAAAAACTCAAAACGGGGGTTAAAAAAAAAAAAAAAACGGTAGATCAAAACATGAAAGCTACCATTTGACATTTTTCTAAACCCTGACAGTGTCTTCAGCAAAAGGTTTCAATTACAATTAAATAACATTTTATCCTCACTATATTATCTCATACTTAACAGTTCATTTGCCATAAAAGTTTTTAATCAAGCTAAAAACTAATTCAAGTACTGAATCATTGTTTTCATTTTCAAATTTTCACAATTCTCTCCTGGAACAGCCTCATGCAGCATATCAATAAGTCTATTAAAGAAAAACTATGGTAACTTTATACAACTAAATTTGGCACCACTTTACAATAAGGCTCCCCTTACAAATGGCTAATAGTTTATAGATAAGTTAATTCCTCTATACACACACTTTATAAATCATTGTTTATTATGCATTAACCTTTTTAAAGGCTATTATAATAGTTGTAGATACTTATAATGAAGTGATAAAGTACAACATTATATGCTAAAAAAATCATGTTTACAAATGCTTATTGTGCTCATAAGGTAGTAACTTAGTCTGAAATGTTTAATATAACAACTCTAGATGAAATATAAAGGTGAACAGGTTTGGCTCACTATTTGGCAAGAAACTGGTCAGTTTTGTCTCCGTCACCCTTAATTAATGCATAATAAGCAGTTATTAATTATTTATAAAGTGTTTATAGAGGAATGAATAACCAAACTATTCATTAGCCATCTATAAGGGGAGCCTTATTGTAAAGTGGCACCCTAAATTTTTCCATTTGCAGAAAATTTAAATTCAAAATTTGAATAAATTTGATTATTCCGCTGTTAATTGTGTGTTAAATCAAAATGTGGCACAAAAGGAAAATGAAACAGGCTCTTAAGTATATTTGTTTGCAAAATAAGTTAAACACATAAAAATCTTAGCTAACCCCTCCTTTTAATCCCCCCCTTTTTACACCCCCCCCCCCCCCCCAATCCTTTCTATCCCCTAGCGATTCATATTGGCCTTAGTGAAAGTTGGCATGTGTTTTTCTACAGGCTCGGCCGTAGCAGCCTCATCTTCTCGGACTGAGGTCCTTCAAGCAGCCGTGGGGCTCTCAGGTGCAGGACATGGGGGACTGTTTACCGCCAGGCCCGGTTGAGCAGTTTGACTTCCGCCAGGCGTTTGCTTATCATGGTGGCAAAGAAAAGGGCAAAGAGTACACTGCTGATCAGCATGTAGTCATAGTCATCCTTTAGCACGTCAAACTGCTTCGAGGGATATACGCGCGTCTGGTAGATGTCGAGACCGTATGCCACTACCTGAAAATAAAAAAAAAAAAATAATTTAACACAGTAAAATAAAATAAAAAGTCACTAAAATAGGGATGTGTTTACATTTAAGTAACAATTACTTAAGTATGATGGCAGTTTAAAATTATTTATTCAGTAAAACCACTTTAAAACAAACAAAAACCTGTTAAAATGCAAAAAGGCATTCTTTGTAAATGTTTCATAGCGTTAGTCAGTACTTTGAGTCCAGACTCACCATGCAGGTTGACTCCAGTCCAGAGGGAGCTGTGTAAATACCTCGCACTCTCGATACGGTCTGATTGTAGTTGATGAACCACTCTGTGCGGATGATCAGCTCCGGTGCATACGGTATCAGGTTTTCTTCCCTGAATATCAAGTTAATAGGTAAGATGTAGATGAGGGAAGGTGGGAGAAAGAAAAAAAAAAAAACAGCTTACCAGTAATTTTAAACCAATTCTGACTGGAAGACTTACCGGCTTTGCTCGGAAACTATTTCTGGCCTGCGTGGATCAAGAAACATCTTTGGTAAAGACAAAATTCCTCCAGATGGCAAGCCAACTGTGACAAATCAAAAGGACATATGAATATGAAGAAAATGTAAGAATTAGACATGTATAATAAATATTGAACAGTCATTCATCCTTCTAGATCTTACTGAGCAGATGGCGACTGGTGATCCCCTTCTCAGTCAGGGTGGCCTCCATGGTGGAGATGGATGCAGGGAAAATGTAAGACTGCTGAAGCACATGAGGAGCATTTGGCCGGTCCAGAGAGCTGAACACAGTGCTGTTGTAGAGCTCCATTCCTTCATAAAGTTCAATGACAGAGAACTCATTCCTGCGAGACTTGGTGCTCCAGTATTCATACTGTCAGACACACACGAAACAAAATATACAAAAATCACATTAACCTCATTGTCTGAGGGCTGTTTAATTACGTGATGTTACCAATTTATCACACTTACAACAACCCAGTTTTCAGAGTGCACAACATGCACCGGTCCTCTGGCTTTCCTCTGAACCGCCTCGTGGATGATGCGACCAGTCACGCCATCAATCAGCAGGATCCCAATAAAGCTGCGCTCCTGATGCAAATCTGTGCTTTCAGTCACTACAGCCAGTAGATTGGGGTTCAGGTACTAAACAAAAATGACACACAACCATGCATTTTTTATTTTTAGATACTTGTGAAAATGCTTCATATGCTTGCCACTACAATTAAAACTCAAATAACTAGTTCCCTGTTTATTATATATATATATATATATCTATATATATATATATATATATATATATCCATATCTATATCTATATATATATATATAAATAAATGTGACCAGGAAATAAATGACCATATAGAACAAATATATGTAAAATTACAAGTAAACGTAAAATAAGAAAAATATTTGATTTTTGTTAAGTGTGGTGTATATAAAATTAGTCTTGTGGAAAATGTTTTGCACAATAAAAGCTGCAATTTTAATTAAATGAAAAAGTCAAGCCATTTTAGATCAAATTTTGATCTGATTTGATCTTAACTTTCTCACACATTCCCAAATCTAAAATGTAGAGGATGCTACAATACCTTATACAGCACACTTCGGTCTCCCATCACTCTGCCCTGTGAGTGAACATGCTCATTGGGCCTTTTCCCTTTAACAGAAACTATCTTCTGCACCTCATTCGGAATTACGACTTCCCAGACCTGCTCAGTTGACAAGTCCTGTAGCACCAAAATCACCAAATCGTTTTATTTGGTATTTAAGCAACATTACGTAGACGTTCACTGCTAAACATCGGATTAAAGTTTAACTTGCCGTTCGTAATCTGTAACCAGAGAGTCTCCCCTGACTGGAATCAACGAGATAAAAAAAGATGGAGGCAGCCGTTTCCTGGAGCTGCTGCAGCACGTTCTTGGTAGAAGGAAAGGCCGACACCTAAGACAAAAACAAAGACTTAAACTGTAGTTTTCTATAAATAATTAAAATTCAACTTAACTTAAACATGCGCTTGTGTAATACACAACAGACTGATATGTGAAAGAAGGAAACAAAAAAAGTTGAACTGGTTTACAGTTTCCTACATACCTTGTACTGGTCATCAACAAGAAGCAAGACCTTGGCGTAGTCCTGGTCGATGAGTGGGAGCAAAAGGGACTGAAGTATAGGCCGAGACAGAGCAGGTGGAGTGACGTGACTTTTCCGTCCAAAAATGGGGTTAAATACGTGTAGTGTCGCCAAACCCGAGTCCTATGACCAAAGAAAACCAGTGAATAAAAAAGTTTAAAATCAAGATAAATAATGTTATACAGCTCAGACCAGAGCTTTCTTCACTAAACTGGAGAAAATACTGTAGAGAAATTATACTTTTCAAAAACACTAGATCAATCTAATGGTACATTAGATTAAAATAATAGCTTGGTGTTGGTGAATACCTTGTCTTTGATGAGTAGCGTGCACTGTGGGGGGTGAGGGAAGTGTGCAGTCGTTCGTTGCACTATTAGCTTGAAAGCAGCATTTGGTGGGATGTTGTCAAGGTAATGCTTCCACAATATGCTGCCAGTCTTGCTGTCAATCCCGAACAGCTTAACAGAAAAAGAAACAAGGTTCAACAGTACAGGAAAAAGTGAGAGGTCTTATTGTATTATTTGTGTTTTGTTTCAAGTCGTCTGAACTCAAGACTAAATAATCCAAACTTAGATTAACCATTGTACCTTTCCAGATGCTGTAACCATAACCATCATTTTCTGCAAGTTGAACTCGTCTCTAGACAGATTCTCGATGGTGACGTCATTTTTGACCTGACTGCGGGGTTTGCGAGCATCATAAAATAACTTCCAGAGGTGGGCGATCCAGGCCTGCAGCATGATGAGCTGAGAGGAGAGCCTCTTCACCACCATAGACATCAAACCATCTAGAAACAATACAAGACCACATAAGGTGTTTTTTTTCTCTCATAACTTACAATCGGTGTGTCAGATTTCCAAAGCATTATAACGTTTTTCTTCTACTGTAACCATAGACTGTTGAAAACACTGAATATTCAATATTTGTTAGAAATATTTTTTTTATTACAGCAGTTTACACTAATCCTAAAACAGGAAGTCAAGTCATATTGAAAATGTATTCATTCTTTCAACCTTTATTTATACAGGTTAATCCCATTGAGCAGTGGGGACTCATTTACACATGAGACCTGAATTTTTAACAAAGAAATACATAGACATTTGTTACCTTGTATAGCTGAATCCATCCGCAGCAGTAAAAACAAGACAAATATGAAAGTGAAACCAACCAGACCCAGCCGAGTCAAAAATCTCAACATATTTAAGACTTCTTTAATTGAACTGATCAGTAACATAAATTCATGCAAGTACACTCGCTGTGGCGACCGCTGAAGAAGGGAACAGCCGAAAAGAAAAATAAAGGAGCACATACAAAATGGAAAACTGTTTTATAGATTAGAAAGGTAGTGTAGCTGCTAAAGTCATGATAAACCTAAATAAATTTTTCCCAAGGCAGCACGGTGGCGCAACTGGTAGAGCTGCTGCCTCTCAGCGAGCAGGTCCCTGGTTCAAACCCCGGTCCAGGGGCCTTTCTGGGTGGAGTTTGCATGTTCTCTCCGTGCATGCGTGGGTTTTCTCCGGGTGCTCCGGTTTCCTCCCACAGTCCAAAAACATGCATGTTAGGCTGATTGGTAACTCTAAATTGTCCCTAGGTGTGAGTGAGAGAGTGAATGTTTGTTTGTCTCGTTTGTCTCTATGTGTCCCTGTGATGGACTTGCGACCCGTCCAGGGTGTACCCCGCCCCTCGCACAGTGATTGCTGGACATGGGCACCAGCGACCCCCGTGACCCAAAATGGAATAAGCGGGCAAAGAAAATGGATGGATGGATGAAATTTTTCCCAACTTCACTTACCATCTGCACTGAAATAGTGAAATGTTACGTCAAAAATATAAGAATGAGCTCTTCTACAGCTTTCTGTTTGTAAAAGCAAGGGGATTTTAAATCTTCCAAGAGTATTGACAACAATGTAGAAAAAGGACTATGATTTCTGGTATGACATTTACCTGCTTTTTTGCCAAACTCTCCCTCCAGCTCAGCCTGCGTTCCTGTGAGGGGCAGATCCACCATTTCCATTGTCACCACATCTGACAGAGCCTCTTCTCTTGTCCACATTACACGCCCTGAAAAGGAACATTCATCATTCTCCACCATCCACATCCTGTGGAGGTATGCTGTGTTGATGCTTTCCATCAACAACCACATGGAAACATTGTTCCCCCTTTATTGAGATTGGATTATTGAGAGCATGCATCAGGATATTGTTCCCCCTTTTTGTGCAAGACTGGACAGGTAGCAAACAAAAAAAAAAAAAGACTTTGACGCCACCTAGTGGTAAAATGAAAAAAGACACCAGTTTATGACCACTGACACCTCAGCTTCCATTAACACTGGGCTGATTCATAACAACTAAAGCTCACAAAAAGTGGATGAAATAGGTGCAGAAGCAGCACTAGGGCATTTAAAAAAAGGCTGGAAACTGATCCTACAAAAACTCACATCAGCATCATTTCTTAAGCAAATATCATGGCTTGTATTACCATAATATGAAAGAGAGCAAATTGGGATAAATTTGAACTGAAATCTAACAATCATGCAAAATACAGCAACTGACTTAATAGCTCACACTGGTCTGATTCATATTTATCAAGCAGAATAGTGAAGAATACAAAAACATCCTATCCTTACTTTTTACTGTTGTTCATACCTGGCTGCTGTATAAAAATGAGTGCATGGTCCTCCGTCTGCACCATGACTCTGTAGCCAACAGAGTCATCCTTCTTCAAGAATGCTTGTACATGAAGCTGTGAGACAGAATTTAAAGTCATTTAAAAGGATTAGAAAATTATACTAACAAACAACATCATAAATCAATGTCTCAAATATCCCTCTATAAACTATTAGAATGCTTTAGTTGCTTAAAAAGTCACAAGAGCAAACAAACATACCCTCTCTGGTTTTCCTCCATTAGGATCCACAGTGAAAATCAAAGTTGTATCAAGAAGTCTGCGTCCAGTTTCAGAACTAAAGAGATTAATGCTGCAAGCCTGTGGAGTTTTCACAAATGCATTTTATGCCTCACATAAAAAAACTTGACTAAATATGACTGCAGCAAGTGAAACTTATTATCCACTAAATATGTGCAACATATATTGTACCTTACCTGTATCTTACAAGAAAAAATACATTAAAGATTGACCTAATGCAGCTGAAATCCACTAAAATCTGCAAAACGATATCAACGGAGGGAAAAAAATAATTTCTCCCAGCATAACTGAAAGTGTAATTTAACATGAACTTACAGTTTTATTCTTGGGTGACATGACAGCAGCAACAGTCTTCTCTCCAGTTGTTGCAAATGAAACAAGCAAAGCCTGTAAATGAAAACAAATACACCACAAGAGTTTTACAAACAAACTGTCAAATTTACTATCCATGTCTGACACAGAAAACATTGTTATTTTAATACTATAATGCATTTTGAAGCTTAAGTTTAGGATAACCTAATTTTATAATCAAGAGAATGTCTTGCATCAGAAAGTAAGAACACTAAGGAAGTAAAGGTTTAGCTCAGTTGAGAGTTTTCTATACTTTCACAAAGGTCCCAAGCATATGTTGTGGGGGGCAGGATAGATAACTAAAGTACTTTATTTAGGTTTTATGTCTCAAAACAACAAAGATGTTTGTCCTTGAGAACTTTTCGTACAGTCAATAAACAACTTTACACTAAAATTAGTTGGTAACATGTTTGGAAAAAGGTAACATTTTGGAATGAAAAAATTCTAAACAACGGGGAACTTGAATTCTGAAAATCTCTACAATGCATTAAAAAGTGCAATATGCAGAAATGTTTACGTACAGGCTTAAAATCCCTCAGAGTAACAATCTGACCATCGTTGAGCTGGAGAAGTAAATGATGATCAGGCCCAAGTTGAAGTAGGAACTCTGATAGTGGCTGACGGGCTGGGCTAGGCTGGTGTGACACCAGGTATGGATGAAAACCTGGGTCTACTTCAAGACCAAGTGACTGTGGGAATACAAATTATATATAAAAATATTTGAATAAACATTCAGATGGAAAAAACAGAGACAAATATAAATAGAGCATATGAGCAGAATGACATAAAAATGCTAAATTAAAGAAATAAGAACATTAACAAACATTTCATACAACAAGATGGCTTGTGTTGTATTTTTCTTGATACCTGCAGGGGAACTTGTGTCATCTGTAACTGTTGGTGTAAGTCAAGTGTGTAAAGGGATGCGGTTGTAGCATCTACACACGTTAATATTCCCTGGCCAATGACTGCACAGCTGGCTGGTATGTTTGACAGCCATGGAGCATCAACTGAAATCTGAAAGCATCACAAGCATCACAAAGAAAAAATGGGAATGGTCTGTTTAGATTGTTGAAACTGAAATGCTCCTTAAATGTCTCAACATTTTGTTTTTCTATATCCTATGCTTTATTTGTTACCTGGTTGATTATTTCACCATCATCCATACTGTAAGCAACAATAGCAATGTGGGAATGGGGGACAACTCCCATTGCATAGACTTGACCATTTCCACTTGAATACACAGCCTGGTAATTCACAGTTTCACTGTGAAGATAAAAAGTATTCATGTTCGAATGTTAATCTTGGTGATGAAGTTATGTTTATTTCAAAGTATTGTTCCTGTGTATAACAAAATATTAAGAACATTCCTGAGAAGAACTGTGTAATTGTTGACCAAATTATGCAAAAGGTAATATATAGTGCACCTTTCTGGTAGGTTCTCTATCCATTTTAGATGACCATTAGTCAAGTAATGAAAAGAGATGACAGATTTCTTCAAAACAGCCGCGTGTTTGACTGTGCCTTGTTGACCAACCAAACATGCTGATTGAAAGCTAAAATACAAAACAAAAGCAGTTAAGAATTAAACAACGGGTGGACAGTTTGCAATTAACCATTACAATCATGAGGATATTTACCTGCCAGAGTCTAGCACAATTTCCCAGTTTAAGCCTCCAACACTGATGTCCCAAGAGCGCAGCACGCGCCCATTACCAACCACTAGCACAGCATCTAAGCAGTTAAAACAGTTTCATAGATTATAAGCATGGAGTAATGGAAGTAAAAGGCTTGACGTTCAAATGCAGTCACAAGAGGAAAGCACCTTGCCCATGCTGCAAAACAGCATCAATGTTTCCCTCCAGTCCAGTCTTGTCCACATGTCGCCAAACTGCAAAAGACAAGAAGGAATAAATATTAATTTATACATTTAAATGTTAAATATTTTATGTTAGATGTTATATTTAACTGACAGGCATATTTTTATACTGAAAATACTCACAGAGGTCACCTGTCCTGGTGTTTAATGCAGCAAAAACATTACTCTCTGTTGCTATTAGCACTTTTTTGGATAACTGCATATGCGTGTCGAAATGAGAAAAGCGAACTTTGCCTACATATTGCTGCCTCCTAAGAAACCCGAGACAAAAAAAACAAAAAACATTAATCAACACAATGTATTTCTTCTTTCAGACCAGGCGTAAACTATACCATTGCCAAGCTTTACAAGATACAAGTTTCGTTTACATAATTTAAAACTTGAAGATAATTTAGAAACAACGAACATGCTAACATAACATGGAAGAAGTTAATGTAACAAAACTATCTTCATTGACATTAGCAATGTCATCTCCTTAATAGTCCACCCCGACCCGAGGCTTAGCTAGTTTGACAGGTGTTAGCAGTAGCATTTTCAAACAATGAAATAAATATATAAATATTACGAAACAAAACACTTGTTTTACTGGTTCTCTAGCTTTTTCTTACCAGTCAAATTTTCCTACTTGATCCTCAAACACAGCCGCTACAATGTCACATAAAAATATCAAATTCAGCAACAGCAAAATTAGCTTTCCCATTGCAGCAGCTTTGCCGTGGTTCAACGGGAGGCGGAAGTCGGAAGTAGACGATTTCCTTTTTGTCTCGTTAAAGGAAAGGTGCTGCCACCTAGTGGTAAAAATACGCATTGCGTTCAAAATTATAATAATAACTGATGTGCAAATAATTCAATAATGCTCCATTAGAGTTTTATCCTGCTAAACTGATAAGAGCTTCTGAATTAATGTCTTTGAAATAGCCTTTGCATTCACTGACATATTATTCCTATATCATTGTCAAATGTCTAAATTACATAAAATATAGTGTATTTTTTAATTCATTCATTCATTCAATCTTTATTTATACAGGCTAGTCTCGCTGAGCCTCGGGGACTTATTTACAAGAGAGACCTGCTTTTAACAAAGAATGATGACAACAGTAGACAACAATGACAAGAGTAAACAATCTTAAAAGAACAGATATAAATATAAATATTTATTATTTTTTATTGAATTGTATGCAGCCCTGTGATGGACTTGCGGCCTGTCCAGGGTGTACCCCGCCCTTTGTATAGTGATTGCTGGACATGGGCACCGGCGACCCTCGAGACCCAAAATGGAAGAAGCGGGTAAAAGACAATGGGTGGATGAATGGATGTATTGCTGTCTAAATAAAGGTTGAATGAATTGTATGCTGACTGCTAGAACAGGTGCAAGAACAGTAAATGTTAAGAGGCAATTTTATAGTTTTCTTTAGACTTTGACCTCATTATATGTATAATTTTAATTAGATTGTTTTGTAGTTTAATATGTACCTATTGAGAACAATGTATTTTTACATGGTTTTAATTTAATTAAGACCTCTGAATAATTTCTGCATAAAGGGCTCCAAAGGACATGCGATGAAACAGTGTTGTTTCTACAACACAATTTACACAAAAGAGCACCAACAAAGATATTCTTTAAAAAAAAATGTAGCTGAAACCTGACAAACTATATGAACAAGAGAAAAATAATGCATCTTTCATGTTCATTGTTAGGCCTTACCTATTATATTATATTATATTATATTATATTATATTATATTATATTATATTATATTGTGTTTTAGAGATTAATAATCTAAATTGATTTATTTTCTGGTAAAATAACGTTCTAAGAAAATACATCTGGCTTATTATTTTGCAACATTTGTTTAACAAGTTCCAAGCTTGTCCATCGTTAATGAACACGTTATTAACTTCATTAGACAGTAGGCGCCCCCTTGCGACTTTACTTTTACAGCCTCTTGGTCCACAAGTCAGTTTTTTTCTATGTGATTTCAAGATGGCGTCAAGCGGAGGAGATGGGGAGCACGAATGGACAGCGGCAGTTCGGCCGCTTTTATCAGCTTCATACACCGCTTTTGAAACAAAAGAGCTACCTCAGCTGATTGGCTCTATAATCAACAGGTAACTGGTTACATGTCAGAAAATTACGTGTTCATTTGACCACGAAACTACCCCTATCTACCCGGACGTAGCTTAATGGCTAACTTGCTAACGTCTCGGTTAGTGAAGTTCGATGGGAAGCTAACGTTAGCAGCTAGCTGTCTACTTAAGCTTAACTTGCATTAGTTTCTGACTAGCTAAAATGCTAACGCTTACTAACTTATTCAGAATGCCTTTTGGCATGCGCCAGCTGGTAAATTATTTACAGCTTGTGACGAGGCTTGACCTGTCTATGTTGTCACCCATTGTTTAATGCATTAAAAACGTTTCGAAGGCGCTGCAATGTAACATTTTGAAAATTTGCTTCATCATTAGCTACCCAACAAACATTAGCCTGCAAGCTAACTGTGGGCCCTCGACTCCACAGTAACGTTGGAACGCCTCAGTCAGAGAAATATTTCACTACTAGGTTAGAAATAATCGAATTTTGTACCAAACCTATCAAAAAGAGGGTAATTCTAGCATGTCATCAGCTAGTTTAACCTTTGAGTGTAAAAGTCTGTTTAATATTTTGTGGTGTGGTTATGTTTTGACTGAAAGTAGGCGGGGATGTCATGTCTAGTCAGATGATTTTAGTCGTCCTCAAAGCGCTGTTGCTATTGTTTTTCTTCAACTGTCGGGGATCCTCGCAGACAGACTGTCATGCATCGATCTCCTGCTGTGACCCATAACCAGGTGTGTCACCTGACACCCCTGTGTAATGCTGACCAGCGTCACTTCCCCTTGCCAAGTGAAAAGTTTCCTTTTCTTGAGAAACACATAGTCAACAAATCGCATCACTACTACGCCAGGGTTAATAGTTTCGTTTTCTTAAAAAAAAAAACTTCAGTAACGTTTTTTTTCTGTTCTTAGACAGTCAGTTACTTCAATAATCCACCATGTTGTAGAAATGTAAATGTTTGTGCCTCACATTGTTCAGTAAATTTAACAAGCAAGGCCAAAGAGTGATGTAGACTCCATCCTTCAGATTTGTTATTTACCATTTTGAGTGCATGCTGATTAGATGAAAAGCTATAGGTTATATTGAGATCATATTGGTAATTTTGAGATCTTATTGGTAATAAGGGCTTGTCTTAATTTGTCAGCAATTTTTCTCGTCTATGGTGACATTGAAATGTTTGCCTCACTTCATTGTTTAGATTTTTTTGTATTGTAGTTCTTTATGTTTTGAATCAAATTGGTTGTCTGCTAATCATCACTGTGTACTTTATAATCTGGTTTCTTTGCCTTTTTTTTAAACTTATGTATATAATTGCATTTGTATAGTTTTGTGCAAGGCAGCACGGTGGCGTAACTGGTAGAGCTGCTGCCTCTCAGCGAGCAGGTCCTTGGTTCAAACCCCGGTCCAGGGGCCTTTCTGGGTGGAGTTTGCATGTTCTCTCCGTGCATGCGTGGGTTTTCTCCGGGTACTCCGGTTTCCTCCCACAGTCCAAAAACATGCATGTTAGGCTGATTGGTAACTCTAAATTGTCCCTAGGTGTGAGTGAGAGAGTGAATGGTTGTTTGTCTCATTTGTCTCTATGTGGCCCTGTGATGGACTTGCGACCCGTCCAGGGTGTACCCCGCCCCTCGCACAGTGATTGCTGGACATGGGCACCAGCGACCCCCGTGACCCAAAATGGAATAAACGGGTAAAGAAAATGGATGGATGGATGGATAGTTTTGTGCCAAAAGCTTTATTGTGTAAACTCTCTTCCTGTTTGTGTAAAATTTTAACACTGCCTAGGACCTGTTCCAAGTGCTCAAGTTGACTTGTCTTTAGAGTTCCTAGATTTTTTTCTGAAGTCGGTGGAAAAACATTTTGTTGTTTTGCTCCTTAGTCATGGAATAATCTTCAGCTCACACTAAAACCTAATGCTTTTGTCACTTTCGTAGAACTTGAAGCTTCCAAAGTCTTCTGTAACTGTCTGACAACTGTTATTCTTAATGTTTGGTTGCTTATTCTTAATAATAGTTGTCAACCTTTCACCAAACACTTGAAAATATGCTGTGAAAGAATAGTGATTATGGAGTTATTGTTTGCATGCTTTCTGTAGCTCTTTCCTTCTTGCTATCTTTATCATCTTGTAACATTACTTTACTTGCTTCAATGGCTGGTCAAAAATGCTCAAGTTGTATGGAAAAGATAACTGACACGGGCAGAAACGGAAGGTGATATTGAAAAGAAACTGATCTATAATGCCAAAGATTGCTAATCAAAGTTGATCTATATGCTGGACCTTAATGAGTTCAATTCCTGTCAGTGCAGAACTACAACTGCTTATGTAAGATATGAAATAAAAATGTGCAGAAAGGCTTATGAACATTATTTTTTATTATTATTTTTAGCTTTGGATAAGACGGCTAATGAATAAGTTGGTGTAGTCATGATCACATCCCGTGCACAGTTGTATTCCTATTTATTCTCCCAATACATAAACAATTAATTTCAATTAAAAAAAGGCTAAAATATATTAAGCATGCGCAGTGATGTGTGCTTTAAGAGAAGGAACTTTAGAGTCAACATGCATACAAACAATAGCTTCATTGCCAGTGTGATCTTCCTAACTTGGTGTGTATACAGTTGATTTCACACATTTTACTACACTTTTAAGGATCAAGTCATTTGTAATTTTTTTAACCTCTAAGATTCATTCATTCTCAGCTTACTAACTGTATTTGGTAATTTTTGACAATTCTTTTTTCCTTGTAATTTTAAACTTGTTAATCAGGATTTAGTGTGCTTCATTAACATGCCCTTTTTTTAGTCATGTACAATAAGAGTAAATGCAAAATTATGGATTGCAAAGATTTGTGTTAAAATTGTTAAATTGGCTGTACTTCAGATAACTGGAGTTTTACAGTAATGACTGAAAAAAACTGTTCATAATACAACTGCTTATGAGTCCTCAAGGTTCAATGAGACTAACCTGTATGAATAAAGGTTGAATGAATTAATGTTGTGTATGTATGTGTGTATATATATATATATATATATATATATATATATATATATATATATAT